TACAGAACCCTTCTAAGAATTTATCTTTTATTGTTTTTATGATGACAATACAACCCCCCTTTTGCCTGTATTGAACTAATAAGACAGGTCATTTTACCAAGTGAGGAAAACTGGCAGGCAGAATTACGGTTATCAAGTTACGTTCGCGAACTCCCGTGCAGTGATATTATCACTGCGGCGGGCAGGTATCTCACCGTAAGCATGGTAACATCGTAATAAACAACTGACGTGATTGGTTCTAGCCCCATGCTCAGGTCGCGTGATTGTAAAGTTTAGACAATTTCATTGGTTGAATTGCGCGTATTAACTAATAAACAACACGTATCAACACAACTTTTACTCAGAATTCCTCCGCGGAGATTTCCTCTTATTTTTCATTGATTTTGGAATATTTTGACAAAATAATTATTGGTGAACATAAAACAACATATATTTTATAAGTTGTGTGAAAAACAAGTACATCTGTGACAAAAAGGGGGGACTATCTTCCCCAAATTTTGGGGATTCCATAATCTGCCCGCCGCAGTGTCTATACCGAGACACTGCATAGGAGTTCGGGGAGTTCGGAAAACAACCAAATGGATTTACTTTCACACATGTTACATTGTTATCACATTTTATTGACAAATACCATAATAATTATAATCATGGAAATGAACCATTTATTCCAAGAACCGATTTAACATTTGACCTGCTCTCTACCAATGACAGAGAAGTCTATAACATTCTACTCGGCTTAAATATTAATAAAGCCACTGGCCCTGACATGTTGAGTAATAGAATGCTAAAAATGGCAGCACCATCACTTTCACCTATTTTATCAAAACTGCTTAACAAAATGTTTACTTTGAATCAATATCCTCAACTATGGAAGGTCGGTCATATTGTAGCTATTCATAAAAACAAAGATAAAACAGATGTGAAAAATTATCGCCCAATAACACTCCTGTCTTGTATTTCTAAAGTCGCCGAGCGCATTATTTTTAAAAGACTCTTTGATCATTTCATTTCTAACAATTTATTTTACAATCTTCAAAGTGGTTTCCTGCCAGGACATAGCACACAGGCACAACTTTTAAGTATTATTGACCACATAACAAATGAAATTGAAAATGGGGCTAATGTAAGAGGGATATATCTTGATATTTCGGCTGCATTTGATTCAATGCCCCATGGGCTACTATTAGGAAAATTGAAAATGTTTGGTTTTGGTCCGAATATCCTGGAATTGATGAAATCATATTTACTACACAGACAAGTGAAGGTGGTATTAGATGGTCATGAGTCAAACTTATCTGAAAAGGGTTATATCAATTCTGGAGTTCCTCAAGGCTCGATCCTGGGGCCCCTCTTATTTTTGATCTATATCAATGATTTACCTGACAATTTGAATTCAAAATGTTTCATCTACGCAGATGATACCTCAATTTACCAGTCATTCACAGCTGAAACAGCAACTGAAATGAACAATGCCCTACAGGAGGATCTCAACCATATTTTTCAATGGTCTGAAGTATGGAAATTAAATTTTAAAGCTTCTAAAAGCAAAGATTTGACCTTTACCAATCCAAAGAAACGTGAAATTTTGACCATAGATCTTTCTCTCGGAAACGACATTATACCAAGAGTAAACAGCCATAAGCACTTAGGCTTAATCCTAGACAGAAATCTCACTTTTGACCTTCACATAACTGAACTTGGTGCAAGAATAGACAAACTTTTAAATCCACTGAAAGCGCTCTGTCAGAAAATAAATGGAAAACATCTCGAAACAATCTTTAAATCTTTTATCCTGCCACTTTTTGACTATGGTGATATTTTATATGGGTGTGCAAACACAACAAAATTACAGTTATTAGATCGACTTTACTATAAAGCCGCTTGCATTTGTTCAGGTACTCTGTAACATGGGACTTCGACAATTAAAGTGTTGAATAATTTAAATTGGCCAACATTAACAAAGAGGCGTCAATATCACAGAAGCATTTTCATGTATAGGGCACATAATAATATGCAGCCCTCTTATGTTCTTAACATATTTGAGCCTCTCAAAAGAAACCATGCTTATGGTCTAAGAAATCAACTGAGCTACACAATTCCTAATAAATCCTCATTTTCTAATAGATCTTGCATATCAAAAACACTGACTGAATGGAATAAGCTTTCACCTGAAATAAGAAATTTACCTACCCTTAGTATATTCAAATCCAGACTTAAAATAGATCTATTCAATGACGATGTTACAAATTCATCAGAACTCTCCGTTTCAAGAAAACAAGAAATAATTTTCAATAGAGTGCGCTGTGATCTCATTTTTAAGGCTCACCTTTACGCTCACAATTTCACTTATATAAACTCCCCCATTTGCCAGTGTGGAATGGATGGTGAAACAACCAATCACGTAATTTTTCACTGTAATCTAAGATCAACATTTTGGACAGAATTTGAAAATGAATTAAAAAATATGAACATAGAATATTCTACTAAATATAGATCACAACGAGACAAACTCTCCCTTATCCTCAATGGCGATAAAAGGCTACCTAAAGCTGTAAACTTAAATATCCTCAAATGTAGTGCCATCTTTTTTGAACGATGTAAAAATGTCTAGGTCACCCCCACCACTGTAACCCTCCACAAATACAACCCCTATTTTAATAATTGATTGAATACTGTTAATTGATTTTCATCATATAACGTGGCTGATAATGCTGATGCCCAGCCACAAGCACATGTGCACTTTTTTACTGTATTCTTTGTATAAATATATAAATAAATAATAAAAAAAAAAAAAAAATGTTACATGGTTAGAAGTTCTAGAGCTGATTAACTTTCCGGCGGCCATCTTGCATTCTGGCGGCCATCTTGGAATTTTTTTAGATTAATATTGTCATCACGATTCCAGAAAAAACACTTCACAGATGTACTTTAAATGTCGACACATGTTATATGGTAAAAAGTCCTAGACCTCATTATTTTTTCGGTAGCCATCTTGCATTCTGGCGGCCATCTTGGAAGTTTTAAGATAAATCTAGTCATCACAATCTCAAGAAAACCAAACAGATTTACTTCAAATTTCTACACATATTACATTGTAAGAAGTTCTAGAGGTGGTTAACTTTTCGGCGGCCATCTTGCAATCTGGTGGCCATCTTGGAAGTTTATGGATAAATCTTGTCATCGTTATTCCAGAAAACCACTTTACTGATTTTCTTGAACTTTTTACACATGTTACATGGTAGGTTACATGATATCTTTTATATTGATATAAACAGGGGCAAAAGGCACTAAAATGGGATTAGACAAGGTGGCATTCTGAAGTCTCACTTTCTTGTCATCACACTGAAACCACTGAACAGATTACTTCAAATTTTCACACATGTTATATGGTAAGAAATCCTAGAGCTCATTCGTTTTCTGGTGACCATCTTGCATTCTTGCGGACATCTTGGAAGTTTTAAAGTAAATCGTGTCATCGTGATTTCAGGAAAACCAAACGGATTTACTTCAAATGTTCACATATGTTACATAGTAAGAAGTTCTAGAGCTGATTAACTTTTCGGCGGCCATCTTGCATTGTGGTGGCCATCTAGAAAGTTTTTAGATAAATCTTGTCATTGCCATTCCAATTTTAACACATATCAATATTAAGAAGTTCTAGAGCTGATTAAGTTTTCGGCAGCCGTCTTGCATTCTGGCGGCCATCTTGAAAGTTTTACAGAAATCTTGTCATCGTGATTCCAGGGAAACTTTTTTTTTCTTTTATTCTTTATTCCTACCCACACTTGTGGGTATAAAATAGTACATACGAGGGTTGTCCCAGAAGTAATGCACTTTATGCTTTAACTTGCTTCAATATTCTTCAATTCAGCTGAAATCTTGTGTATATAACAATTGAAGTCTTGTCTATTACATCCTGTAGTTTCAGCATTAAACATTAATATTAAGTCTTAATATGGTTGCTATAGCAACATGGGGGAAGGGGTGGGCGGGGCAGGTACCAATTTCTCTAATTATGAAAAGATCCAAAGTGTTATTTTATTAATATTTCTTTCTTTTAAATGATCAAAATGTTTGGGAATTTGTTAAATTTATTCAGCATGATGTTAAACAAGTACAAATAATGATCGGTGTTAATAAGGTACATTCAAAAATATACCAAACGATAAAATTAGACAAACAGAATGTCATGCATTTCTAGGGGTAAGGTATAGTAGAGTGAGTATCCCTCATTAGAAATTCAACGCTGATACTGATGGTGAATATTCTTATATTTTTCAGGTTGACAGTGTTTTGTTTGGTCACCTCTGTCAGATTGTCTACCTTCCTCTACCAACAATGCCACATAAGATTATGATTGAAAAAGAGTGCAAAAATCTGGTGGCATTCTGTGATCGCATGAAAACATTGGCTTGGCCTGATTGGGACAAATTGACCAACTAAAACACGTGCCATTCTGTATATATGCCATTTTAGTGTCTTTAGATTTAGATTTTTGAAATACAACTTTATACTCGTATGAGAACTTTGAGTGACACTGTATATAGTATAAAGCCCATATGGGGTTCACTGGATACCCTCAGAATAGACTGAAGTGTTTATTTGATTGAAACTTCAGTGTCACTATACAATGCGTATCAAAAAAGGAACAAATAAATCGTAAAACCATAAAACCAGAGATGACTGAATCAATTTTATTCAATATACTTAGGGACTTTGAAGTGTTAATCATAATAACAAAGGGATTTGTTTGTATTCACGAATGCAACTAACGTCTGACGGGTACCGGATTAACTTACTATTTTATTGGCTAATTTCATTTAAATATATATAGGTACCTGCCACTATTCCATTCATATTTAAATGAGTTGATCATAAAATAGTATGTTAATCCGGTAGCCGCTATTTGCATTGGCGAATACGAGTTTATTTCTTTCTCCTTACATTTTTATGCCCAATCAAAACATCAAAATATATACAAGATAAAATATAATTATTTTGTTTATTCTGAGAATATAATAACCAGTTTACAATATTCTTTTTTACTGAATAGTAACAGTTATTAAACTTCTACTTATGAACTGTTTCCTCTGTTTGTATAGTTGTAAGTTTGTAAGTTGGACATTTTCAAAATCAAACCACAAAATTCAACTTTCCAGGCTTCCTCTAGAAGACCACCAATTATACGACCATATCCTTATGAAGTCAAAAGTCTACGTAAAAGTAAACTAACGTAATCTGGTCATCCGTATTGCCAATCAAACCTCTTTAATATAAATTATGAATAATCTACAGATTTTGGGTATTTTACATATAGTCAAATATTAAGAGCATGTTTATCATTACTCAATATTCTAGTTTTACGAAATTCTATATGTCTCTTTATTTTGCACACCTGTCACGACATATCTTCCTCTTCATCTAGTAATCCAAAGTTTTTATAAACTTGATGTTGCCTTGAAGAGCGTATCTTTTTTAGATCATTAGCATATTGTTGTTCCCGTAAAAGTTGTTTTTTCTGCTCCTCTAACTGAGCTTTGTGCTCGTGAAGTGCCCGAGTTTTACGGATTAATTTCAAGAGTTCATGTCTCAGGGCTCTGTTTTCTATCTTTATATGATCTGTGTGGTCATTCAGACAAGCAAAGGCTTCCTGAAATAAATATAAAGCATAATTTTAACATAAGTAAACAATCAACTCAATGGCCATGTACATACAAAATATATGCAGAGGGTTGAATGAAGGATTCACTCAATGACCACACAAATACAATATACAGGGACAGATTTAAATAACAATCCACTCAATGGCCATGTACATACAAAATATATGCAGAGGGTTGAATAAAGGATTCACTCAATGACCACACAAATACAGTATACAGGGACAGATTTAAATAACAATCCACTCAATGGCCATGTACATACAAAATATATGCAGAGGGTTGAATGAAGGATTCACTCAATGACCACACAAATACAATATACAGGGACAGATTTACAATAACAATCCACTCAGTGACCATGCAAGGCTCACATTATAAAGGGAGTGAGTTAGATAAACAAACATGCACATACATTATAAAAGGAGAGGGACTTCTCCAAGACATGGCACATTATGGCCTGATATATCATTTGATTGCATATGCTACTTGTAGACATAGCCAGATTATTTCAGTATGACAGCCTGATAATTGGTTTTTGTCCTTAACAAAAATATGTGATACATGCACTAGAAAATTGAAGGATATGCAGGACATAGTCTCTCTCTTACATTGTAACAGATCCTATTTGTCTTTGAACTATATTACATGTAATGATGGGGCACCAACCTTGTTTGCTTGTTTTGTCATTGTTTGTATCCTTTGTTCAGATTCAGTCTGGAATTCCCGCTTTTCCTTGAGGAATTTTGCCTTCAATGATTGTATTGTCTCTGAGTGTTTTCCCCGCATATGCATCACCTCCCTCTCCAGTTCACGAATCTTAGCAAGTTGCTCCTTTTGAAGATTCTGGAACACAAAATTGAAGAAATTGACTTACACGTATAGAGGAATACACATTACCTATCGAGATAATGTACAAGCAAGGCATTAACATGACAAAATATCACCTAGTTGCTCACAATATTATTAGTCCAATCTAAAGTCAGATTTGAACTTCTGAGAACTTGTAGATTTTGGTAAAAAATTGGTCAATTTGAAGCAAGTTGAAAAAAGACCTTTTTGACCCTGAGAAGGTCATTGAAGGATGTGAAATTTGAACTCCCGAGAACTTGTAGATGGTCATTGAAGGACAAATATTTTTTTGACCATGAGAATGTCATTGAAGCTCAAATCTATAGTCAGATTTGAACTTCTGAAAACTTCTAGATGATTTTGAAAAAAAATTGGCCAATTTGAAGCAAGTTGGAAAAATACCTTTTTTGACCTTGAGAAGGTCAATGAACATCAAATCTCAAATCTAAAGTCAGATTTGAGCTTCTGATAACCTCAAGATGATTTTGAAAAAAATATTGGTTAGGCTAATTTGAAGCAAGTAAAAAAAACTTTTTGACCTTTTTTACCTTGAAAAGGTCACTGAAGGTCAAATCTTAAATCTAAAGTCAGATATGAACTTCTGAAAACTTGAAGATGATTTTGAAAAAAAGTTTAAGTTGATAAGTTATTGGAAGTTTTAAGAATTGTTGATTACAGACACCAACCGCCACCCGCCGATCGCTAATCACCAACTGCTGATTGCCAACCACCAACCGCCGTCACAAAAAACGGAGACCATAACAATATGTCACCACTTTTTGGCGGTGACATAAAAGCTATAAATTCAATAAAATATGAAGTATAAATTTTAGACACCTCACATTTGTTAATTTTAAACCACATGCGCTTAATGACTACATGCACAGTATGTTAGTTCATAATTCAAGCATGGACAAATTTTCTCAACCAACTAGACAACAGCAACGCCAAAGTGTAGCAAATCCCATCAACAGCAATGGCTGGCATTTTTACAAAGGAAATGTATAGCAAATATCGTAAAATAACATACATAAGAAAGGTCACCATTTTCAAAATGGTTGCTCAGTAGCCAAATTATCATCAGAAAAAGAAATATGCTTTTATGTAGGCACATATAAATTTTTTTTTAAATCGCACACACGTACATGTAATTGTCAGCCATCTTTTTTATTCTCTTTCAACCAATCAAACTACCTATATCTTATCTACATTGCCAATTGTCTCTTGGGGAGTCCCCTTACTTTACCTTATATTCTTGAAGATCTTCAAGCTCTTGTTTGGTCCTTGACAACATATTCTCCTTCTCCAGCATTACAGCTCTCAGTGCTACAATAATAGATAGCAATACCTAATTTGATTCAGCCGAGAGTATTTGTCTCCTGGATTTGTCTACATTATAGGTCCTCATAGGATAAGTTGAGTTATTTTATATCTCATGAAATTTACTTTCATTTTTTAACAATTTTAGACTCAATAAATGAGCGAGATAAAAATACATGTAGAGATTATTTACTAGGAGGGATTGAATATGGGTATTATTTCACAGGATTATTTCCGAAAGTGTGAAATGTGGAATGAAAAAGTGTATTCTATTGTGTAAATAATAGAGTAAAAAGACTAGTATCAAAAAAATATTTTAAAACAGTTGATGCACATACTGGCTTTTTTCTCCTCATATTGTTTCAACATGTTTTCCTTTTCTTGCTTTATGTCTTGAATTTCTTTTGAGTTCTGGTCACTCAATGAGATGATGGTTGTCTGTCTTTTGGATGTTTTCTTTTCCATGTAGCTCATGTACTCATGCTGAAATAACAAGCCAAAGCATCACTTATATAATCAGGGGTTTCATTAGCAGCACGCAACAGGCGATTTTCTCCAGTTGTTTTCACAAAATCGCCTGTTGTTCTTCGGGACTTTTCCACTTTTCCATGTTAAATTTATGATTTCCATTAATTTAGCCTGTTGTTTTCATTTATTTAGCTGGTTGTGAGAAATTCAAGTAAAAACCTCTGGTACTTATGCTGAAATACATGAATTGGCAAATTTTCACAAATTGCTAAATTCGCCAAATTAAGATGGCCGCCAAACTAAATATGCAGTATCAGTATCAGTATGCAGGATAATAATTTGTTTATTTACTCACACTCTCAATTCTAACTTTATGTGCCTCTTGTTGTAGCCACTCATTCTCTGCTCTGAGCTCTTCAACCTTTTGCTTCATGCTATCTAGTTCACCAGTCAGTTGATCAAGTCTGAAACAGTAAGGACATTTAACTTTGTATATTTGTAATGACCCAAGAGTGCCCTAAAGGAATGACTTAACTACCGAGCACAATGTACAAAAGCCAGATACAGAAATGAAAAAAAATATTTTCAAGCCCAGGAAATCATTATACTATTCCCCTTTGAAAGGACCACACACTCATGATCATCCCGGCACACTCAGTGGCCATAGAATATGGTAAACCTTACTCACTTCGAGAGCCATGTTAGATTTTGAAACTTATGGCTCTCAAACGGAGAAGTGAACAGCTGATCAATAGTGACCTTTGAAATCGAATTAAGTCGATCAGCGGCTTACTTTTGGTCTCTAACTGTGTCTTACATCAGTATCATCAATCCGTGTAAGTATTGGAGCGCTGGAGTACTTATATTTCGATCAAGACTTGTAAATTGTTCATTGAGTGAAAGTTTTTTAGACCTATTTCCAATATGGCGGTTTGCTAGGTGCGAGATACGCAATGAACGAAATGAATTTTGAAAATTAGTTAGGTTCGGACAACCTCCGGAGATTTACGAAAATATCCGAGCAGAAACCGCCATATTGGAATTTGGCAGTAAAACGATTCACTCGACTAACAATTACAAGTCTTGATCGAAAAAGAAGTACTCCAGCGCTCCAATACTTACACGGATTGATGATACTGATGTAAGACACAGTAGACCAAAAGTAAACCCTGATCGACTTAATTCGATTCCAAAGGTCACAATCATTGAGCTGTCCAAATGCTCCGTGGGAAAGCTATTATATCAAAATCCAAATAGCTTTCGCAGAAAGTAAGGTAAACCATGTCATGTCAGGCCTTGCAATATAGTATAGCATTGTACTGTCATATCAGGTTTTAACATTACGACGGTCATGACGGGCCATGCAATTTAATATAGCCTTGTCACGGTTATATCAGGCTATCACAATAACACTACCACGGTCATGCCAGGATCCTTGCGAAACTTAAAAACACTTAATAACATGGTGACGGTTGTGCCAGGAATTAGTCTTGCAATAGATAGGGTCTCAAGAAAATTTGCTTTAATTAGCAAAAAGTTGAACACATGACGTTCTAGCTGGTCAAAAATAGAGGTATTAGCCCTATTAATTTTATTGATGAACTGTGATAATTTACTCAGCAGAGCAGTTCATGCTCAGCACTTACTCTTGTTGAAGTAATTTCTCCTTGTCAGACGGTTCTTTTTCACCATCGTCTTTTCTTTTTGCTTCTCCGTCATCTCCTTTCTTCTTTTTCTCCTTTCCTTTCTTCTTCGGGGGCATATTGAGGTGGATATTTGGCTAAAACTTTAAGAAATTCTGATATTTTCAAAATTTTAGCTTTGTGTTGCCAGGATAAAGAAAAGCTAAGATTTGCAGTGACGCAGCTTGGTATCTAAAAAAGGACGAACTAAGGATTATGTTTATTTTATTTGACGTTATGTTATGGGTAAAAATATATTTAAACATAATCTAATATTTTTTTACAAGATGATAACGATGAATCAATATATGTTTTGAAATAATATAAATTATAAAAATACGAAACAATCCCACAAACCTTAAAATGGCGGCGCCCATAAAAAACGAAAAAAATCGAGCTTCCGCTCTAAATGAGAAAGAACATTTACAGGATCCAAGTATCAGTGATCTTAGTGTGTCGAAAGATATGTGTACTAAATATGCACAATCTGAAGAGAGTATTATGGGAGGAAATACAGAGGAAAGACCCGAAAATAGCTCTTCAAAAATTCCCGCCTTGGAATTTCATTTCAAATCAAAAGAAAACGTCAAAGATAAACGTCGACATGTACATCCAGTGGAATTTGAAGAACATAGGAGTGTTAGAAATGTCCTAACTAGAATGGAAGGTACAAATCAATTTCAACAAAAAATGTAACATTTTTAATTTGTTCACAACATAAACATTCAAGCCAGCATGGGCATTCAATAGAAATTGAAAGCAGATGAAGCCAGGTATAACATGAAGGCATAGGCACCGGGAACATTTATAAAAAAATTGAGGTAATACACATGTCGACTCGATTTTTTTATACATGTTCCCGGGGCCTATGTATAAAAGCGAGTTGTAATTGTGCCAAGTTGTCCAAGTTCAATTGCATATGGAATCATGGGCTCTACCACCCATGATGGAATCAAACCCAGAACCCTCCCCTTTGAAATTAAAGTCTGGCGCTCTACCGCTCGAATCAAAGGAGTTATCAGTGGCGTAACCAAGAAGAATAAAGCGACGGGGCGAAAAATATTTCCAAACCGGTTCAAAAAAGTGATGAGGCAAGCATCTTGTGTGCCTCATCCTGGCTTAAGGTGGCCTATAATGCTGCTTATTTTTTCGTGAAGCCACTCAGTAAAATTATGATTTCTCTGCAACCTGATGTTCAATCAACATCATTCGAGTATCTACATGTATGTGTTCCTGACACGTTTTTATTTTTATTTTCCAGATGCCAATGAAAGGAAGGGTCCTTTAAGCTTGTTGTATCGATGTGTCAAAGAGCGCCTGAAAGTTAGAGTTGTAACACGCAGTTACAGACATGTCCGAGGAGTATGTATCGGCTATATTGTAGCCTTCGATAAGCATTGGAATTTGGTAAGAAGCTTAAACAAGATACATGTATATTTTCTGTTGAATACAATATAACACAGGCTTTGTCTTGGAAGCACTCTGCCAATGATATTTATCTCAGTACTTGCTTTCTTGCATGTAAATTATGCACATGTACATTACATATTTGTTTGTCATTTATCAATTATGTTACATCAGTGTTGAATATTATGATATCCATCATAACATCAATAAATATGACTGTCAATTTAGAGAGTCTAGTTATTCATATTTTATATAATGAAGTCCTCAGTTTAATAACGCTTGAATAAGAAAAAACATTAATTAGTTCAGCCAATTACAATTTTGTCAAATTGTAATATCCGCAAAATGTTCAAAGATGGAGAGGAAACTTGATCATCTACAGTAGTTATGAAAAATGGTACAAAAAACAAATAAAAATCAGAATGAAATCACAAGAAACCCTGTGTAACGCAAATATTGAAAATAATACAATTATATAACTATGTATATAACAATGTAACTTTGAGTTGTTTTGCATAGAATGTTTATTGTATATTAGGCTACAGGCCATGCTAGATGTTGATGAAACCCCATGCGATTCACATATTAAAAATAATATATAACTTTGAGTTGTTTTGCATATCATTTTTATTGTATATTACAGGCCATGCTAGATGTTGATGAGACTTACATGAAACCTCTTGCCCTTACACAGAACAGCAGAATGAAAAGATGGAAGAAAAAGAATAAGGTAACAATCAGCTATATGGGCAAAATGCTGACTGTACTCTTACCGACTTCATATATACATTTAGATTGATAAAAATATGGCATCGGTAGCAGGCCCGTAGCCAGGATTTGCCAAGGGGGGTGTTCAGTTTTCAAAAATTTCCAGGGGGGGTTCACATTTGACAATTTTGGCCCAAATATTGCTAAAATCAGAAGTGCTCAAAATGGTGAAAAACTGCATGATTTTGAAAGAATTTTTGGCCAGGGGGGGGGGTTAGCCCGAACCCTGCGAATCCCCCCTGGCTACGGGCCTGGGTAGTTCTGGTTAAAGGCAGGGCTCCACTATAAAAGCAGAAAGTCAGTTAGAAAATGATGTAATATCGCTTTTGAAAATTTAGATGTCCACAGAATCTGACACCCCAGACCTGTTTTCCCACATATCTGTAGTATTTTTGCATAGAATCTAGCTAAACTTTGTCATGGTTAATTATAAATATATTCTGAATCTGATGGTTACAAGTTTTAAATTTAAATAGAAGATGTAGTTCCTATCTGGCTTGAAATATGTAATATAATATATAAAACTGTTATAGCAGTTATATAATAGGCTGCATCAAAATATGGTTGTGGTTTAATTTACCATATGGTAAGGAATCCACTATACTGTTATCTGGAGAAAGTGACAATAGTCATTTTATTAGTTAATTTATCAGTTTAGTTTATTTATTTATTATTTTATAGTGGTCAGTCTTACAATTTAACAAATATGAAAAATCAGCAAAATCATATATTTCCAATTGAATTCATGTTAAATTCCATCGTCATATAACTAAAAGAGTTTGTCTGTTTGATTTGGCATTTTTGGGTGTGGAAAATGGAAAATGATTATATTTGCTAAGCTGAAACATTACCACACTGGTTAGAATATTAATTGGTACCTTCTAAAACCTCTTTAAAACTGCATTCAACTTTAATTCAAATGCTTTAATTATGGTTCATGGCTTCACAGTACAACTGACCTACCAATCTATTCCTTATGATCTCAAATACACTGAATGTATTCCAAAAGATCTGTGATATGTTATAAATTGGTGAAATTAATAAGGATTAAAAGTGCAAAAAATTGGAAAAAGTGTTTAAATTATCCCAAATATTAAAAATAACCATAAAAATAGAATAATAATGCATTATTGTAAAAATACTTACTTTTCCTGGAATGAATTATTACACATTTTTAGTAAATAGACACGACAAGGAATGATATGAGCCAAAAATTCAAACAAATTTTGTTTAGCCAGCTCACTAGATCTGATTTCCTTTTTAAGTTGTTCATTATTCCACACTTTTGAACTGCATGTATCTCTAATGATGCACTTTTTGCACATTGTTAAACAGTTTACATTAATTATCATTGTAAGGAAAATTCCACATGATAACAATGTAAGTAGAGCAAAGATCAAATACTTCACTTTATTTTCAGAAAAAACCTGGTCAACAACAAGCACCTGGTAGTGACATGAAAACTGCTGAATCTGATATTAACGAACAGCTGGCTAATATTAGTATTAACAATGATGCTGGTTCTGGTAATAATACCCTGAAAACTGACACTGCCAAAGAGATTGATTCCAATTGTAGTGAGGCCATAGTTACTTGTGAGGATGCAAATTCTAACAAAACCAAAACTGATGTATTAAAAATTAAAAACAATATAGAAGTTGTGGATCCACAAGGTGGCAAAGCAAATGAACAATTTGGAGGTAAAAACGAATGTAATGTCAATGATAATGATAATGAACAGGCTACAATTGAAAATGAGCCTATTGAAATTGATGAGACTGAACTGAACGTAAAGAGAATGGATGGACTTCAAACTGATAACAACTCAGATGTGAAATGTCTCACAAATGAAACTCCTTTCAAACCTCCAAATGTCTCCAATGAGATAAATTTGGATTACAATGAAGTCAGTCTAGATTATAATGACCTGAGCTTAGATAATGATCACGACCCTTTTGTTAAAAAGAAGTTTCATCCACACAATAATGATAAGGTTATGCAGCTTGATGGACATGTTGAAGTGAGTAGTGATGAGGATGATGACAACAATGATGATGACTCTAATAGGGACAACAGCTCAAGTGATGACAATGATGAGACAAGTGATGATACTGACAGTGACAATGATAATATAGAAGATGAAATTGATGTAGGAGATATTGATGGAAATGAAGCTGAAATTGAACAAGAAAAAACGGTTGCAGAAGATAATGAGAAAATCAGTAATTATGACACTAAAAATGATAATGTTAAAGAGCCTGAAACAGCTGAAAGTGATGATGGTGAAATTACAGATAGTGACATTGAAATAGAATTAGAAGTCCCCGATATGGCTGAGGAAGAGGGTGAAAATATCACTGATTTACACACTGAGCGTGACATCCTACAACAACAATTAGATGGACTTAGTGAGGGAGAAATTCCAAGCTCTGATGATGGAGAAATAGTGGAAGATGACGAAGTCAAACATGAGAAGATAAAAGATAAATCTCATAAGAAAAAAAGACATAAAGATAAACATAAAAAACATTCTGAGGGAAAACATAGAGAATATTCAAAAGATGATTATGAAAGAAGTAAACACTTGAAAGATAGGCATGCAACACGGAAACACTCAAAAGAAGATAAGGAGAAACGAAGTAGATCAAAACATTCCACAGATAAAGAGGACAAACATCACAAATCTAAACATAAGGATGATGATGGAAAGCATAGAGACAAGTCAAAAACAAAATCTAAACACCACAAATCAAGCCAAGGTGAAGCTAGCAAAAGACAGTCTGAAGAGTTTGATTTAAGGTCTAAACTTGAAGCTCTTAAAAAGTCCAAAATATCTGGAGGACTTAGGCCTAGACCTCCCTCACCATACATGAGTAGATCTAAATCTCCAACTAGTGGCAGACCAAGATCTCCAAGAACACTTCATTCACCAACTAGTTTTAGGCCACAGTCTCCATTTGAAAGACATTCATATTCCCCTGAAAGGAGGCCTCCATCTCCACATGATGGGAGACCTGAATTTAGATCTCGATCCCCTGGAAGATCTAGAACACCTCCACTGAGGAGGCCAATATCTCCCCATAGAAATAGAGCAAGGTCTCCACCAAGAATAAGATCCAGAACTCCACCACCTAGGTCAAGAGCAAGATCTCCAGATAGACCTAGATCTCCAGGTAGACCTAGATCTCCACTTGACAGAAGGTTGAGATCCCCTGAAAATAGACCAAGATCACCTCGTGGGAAAAGACCTAGAACCCCTGGGCGACCTAGAACTCCAGAGAGACCAAGAACCCCTGAGCGACCTAGAACTCCTCGTGGAATAAGATCCAGGACTCCAGAGAGACCAAAGTCTCCAAGGATACCAAGAACTAAAGATAGAAACATGTCTGAAAGACCATTACATGATAAAATGAGAGCAAAATCACCTAAAAGGAGATCAAAATTATCTAGGAGGAGATCAAAATCACCTAAGAGATCAAAATCACCTAGGAGAAGATCAAAATCACCTAAGAGATCAAAATCACCTAAGAGATCAAAATCACCTAGGAGGAGATCAAAATCACCTAAGAGATCAAAATCACCTAGGAGGAGATCAAAGTCACCTAAGAGGAGATCAAAATCACCTAGGAGGAGATCAAAATCACCTAAGAGGAGATCAAAATCACCTAGGAGGAGATCAAAATCACCTAAGAGGAGATCACAATCACCTAGGAGGAGATCTAAATCACCTACGAGATCAAAATCACCTAGGAGATCACAATCACCTAAAACCAGATCTGAATCATCAAACAGAAAATCTAAAGTTAATGAGAGAGTATCTTCAAAAGATGAAAATAATTTAAAAACTAAACTTAAGGACCAAAGTTCTTTTGTATCAGTTGATCAACAGGATCTAGATTCAAAAAGAAAATCAAGGCCAAGCTCTAGAGAAGGACAAGAATTGAAAAATAAGAATATTGATATTGGTGCTGTTGCCATGGATACCACTGAGGATGTCCCAGAATGTGGTTACTACGGCGATGCTACAATAGAAATGCAATCCAATGTTGTTTTACGTCATGTTAATCAGCTTTTCCTGCGCGGAGACAATGTGGTGCTTGTTTCAATAATTACTTACTAGTATTGAGTATTGAGTTACTTTGAGTAAACCGAGTTATGCATTATTTAAGCAGTTGAACATGAGACCTTTCACCGAATGGAAGCATTTCTCATTAAAATATTCAATTGCATTAATGAAAAAGAATTTCCAACTATTTGAAATATCTGAGTAACTGATTTAAGTTGCAGAAATGTCCAAAGTGGATTTGTAACCTTAAAACATGCTTCTGGGAAACTAATAGATGGCGCTTCGGGTTCCTGTCTAAAAAATTCAGGCAAGCATCAGAAGTCTATAGGACATTTTTGGAAAAAATTCTAAATATAATATTTTAAGAGGAAATTGGTGCATGGTGACTTTAATTTCGCTACGCTATCCCATTGTCATTTGAAATACAAGTATGAATGACATTTTTTTGATACAAAAGAACTTTTTGTATTTTAGTATCAGTTTATTTCGTTTGAAAAACAGATATTACTGCATAAAATTGGTTATCTTGAATAGTTTATAATGATAAATTGTTGACAGAATAGAAAAGAAATATATTTAATTTCATAAAATTGTATTCTTTTTATTTGATTATCCAATCGAACGAAGTTCATGTGATATAGAGAACGGCACCATCCGCACATCCTCCATCCGTAGCTCAAACCTCATTGAACCAATATCGTATATATTTTATACTTATAGTATATGTCCCAAAATAGTAAAAGTTTTGCTCGAAAGCAAATTTTCAAAATGGCCGCCAGGTTCAAAATGATTTTATTGATATTTTTTATATGTGCCTACTTAGAAGCATATGATTACACTTTATTATGACGAATTAATTAGTGAGCGGCCATTTTTATGTCCGTAATACTTTTGCTTAAACTGAAAAGTTAGTGTAGGAAATATGTAAAAATGATCTAACGTGAAAAGAAACATTAGGGAGTTTAAGATTAGCGTAAATAACCCATTTACCTATACCTATACGTAATTTGTTATTACACTAAGCGGTATTTTACCTAAGTTACAAGGTTTACGATACGTTATTACCTATAAATGGCCGAAGATAGGTAATTCGAAAACGTATGTTTTTATCCCACAAATTATGTCATTTCTAGATCAAATATCATCCACTAAACTTTAAAATATGTAACAACAAACATTTCTCATTACATCTGCATAGAAGTTAAGTGGTCCAACACATTCATTGATGCGATAAACGATGCCATGTGATGATGCATGAAATTGTTGAATTTACACATTCTTCATCAGTTTTGCTAAATTGTAAATGTATGAAATCAGCCATTTTCTCGTAGTTTTAGTTGTTTAACTTTACTATTTGGTCACTCTCATTGCTGGATCACGCTAGAAATTTAACATTTCGCCTTAAGTCACTGCCCCATTAGCGGGCCCACGAGCAACACCCCCTACCAACTACAGTAGCTACACCACACTCTCTCTGAAGAATATAACAGTTCTTAGAGGTGAAATGTACTGGTATATGCCATATAAGCCATCGCATGGTTTTCATTCTATAATTAGGATGTTAATTTTATCATAAATTGTAGCCTATGGAAAAGGGGGTCATTTATATTAATGACCTTCTTAACGAGAATGGGGCTTTTTTACAGTACAATGAGTTTAAGACTAAGTATAATATTAATATCAACTTTCTTGAGTATTTTTCAATCATATCGGCTATACCAAATGATTGGAAATTTCTATTGAAATCAGATTTAAGTTCGACCTTTGAACCCAGCATACAGGAAGAACTCGTGTATTTGAAGCTTGGTGAAAAACAAGTGACAATCTCTAGTATAACGGTTAAATCAATTCAAACAATATTAAATGGAAACAAGTTCTTGGAACCGTTATATAAAGACAAACATGATCGTGAATTAAAGAGAACCGATTATTTTAAAATGCCTTATATGTGTACGAAACAGAATAAAACGCGACAACTTCAGTTTAAAATACTTCATGGTATCTGCACTACAAATGCCTTTTTAGCGCAGATAGGCATTAAAAATGACTCTAAATGTAACTATTGTGCCTTTCGAGATACGTTAAAACACAAATTCTGGGAGTGCAAAAGAATTCAAATATTTCTGGAAGCAATCAAATGGAATTTAAAGCGTTTATTTAGAGTTGATTTCGATTTTAACGCCCATGACATGGTTTTTGGAAGGCAAGCTAATAAGAAAAATATCTTACCAAATAGACTTACCCTTGCAATTAAGTACTATATTTTTATTAAAGAGTTCGACGAAGTGAATCCCAATTTGTATGAGGCGCAATTTGAAAAAAATATGTTCTATTATGTACCTGAACTTAAAAGTATGACTGTTGCAAATGTCTGAATGAATGGAGGTGGTGTGAAAAATATCTGAACTGTTCTAATTATTGTACTTGTACTGTTTGAATAGAGAAATAAAAAAATAAAAAAAAATAAAAAAAAATAAAAATAAAATAAATTGTAGCCTACGGTTTTGTAGCCTTTTACGTTAATCTTAAACTCATTTTGCAATACGCATTACCTATACGTATCCGTAACAAACATACGGATAGGGATAGGTACACGTATATTTTTACGCTAATCTTAACCTCCCCAATGTCTAACATCCCCCTCCCCCTCCAAGTGAGAACCAATATCACAATCCAGGATTACAATAAATTACATTACATGTTGAAGAAAAATTGGAAAATTGATAATCAATACTCATAACATCAAAAATAGTTGTAGATACTAGTACTCATAAAAGATAGAGTATTAGTCAAAACCAGTTATGATCCACAAATAATATCATTTGAAAGCTCAGTCAATTTAAACAAGAGTAGGTTTAAACAACACTTATTTAACGTTTCTTCATAGTATTCCAGACAATATACATGTCACCTTTTGGCCAGCTAGACTTCTAAAACATTCAGACCTACATGACCTTTTGTTTGATTATTAACATTTTTACAGATTTGTGTTATCTGATTAGAATTCTATATATTTAATTGAAATTTTAATATGGAGAAAGGCCAAAAATACTAGGTCTATTTCAAGAAATTCTTAATACCATTTTCAGGGGGCCTTTTTCTTAGTAGAAAATATAGTTTGGAACAGTTATAACATTTGGTATTATTTAATCCATACTGGACATCCAGTTCCGGCTATCGGACTATATTATCGAAGATAGTAACAGGACAACTAATCACAAGACAACTCATTCCAAGACATCTCCGCTCCAAGACATCTCATCCCAAGACAACTCATCCCAAGACATCTCATCCCAAGTCATCTCATCCCAAGACAACTCATCCCGAGACATCTCATCCCAAGACAACTCTTCCCAACTTGAAATATAACATAAGGGATGAGTTGTCTTGGGATGAGTTGTCTAGAAACCAGATGATATAGCTAATAGTGTATCGAACAGTCCTGCACTTTATTAAGTAATTCTACAACGGGCTATCATTTTTAAGTTGACGTCTACTGCATTCTAATAATAAAGGATATGAAAAAAGTAAAACTAAACGTAATAGAATGCCGTTTCTTTGAAATCGGGATTCTAATAATAAAGAATGGCAATCGGCTTCAGATTTTCAAGTCCCATATGTAATTGTAAGAATGTTCAAAGGACCAGTTGCGATCTGGTGAACTAAATTTAACACTGTATGTTCAAAGGACCAGTTTCGATTCGGTGAACTAAATTTAACACTTGTTTTTCTCTTAATCAAACTGATTATCGAAGAAATCTGAAAAATATGTATCCTCGATGTCGTCGATTTGTTTTAGTAAACAATTTATGTTTTTTAGTAAACTGTACTCCAACTAAAATTTGACGCTATTATATTTTGTATAGATTTTTGTCGTAATAGTATTTGTTCTTTTCTACCAAATCATTGGATTGAAGTGAAACCCTCAGTTAGGCTGATTTAGAAGTATCTGATAAGGTACCTCTGATAATACCCCTTCCAAAAATAAATAAAAAGATATACTATTCATTTGATTTTAGAATATAGTACTTTTAAATCAACCAAACTTTCCTCGTATAATTGAGATATTGAGAGAACTACTGTAAGTACATTGTTGTGTAATGTCAGTTTTGTTCCAATGAGGGTTGAATGGATGTTTCATTTTATTCCAAACATGTCGTCGCAAGAACAAAAGAAAGTGGGTTTTCTAAAAAAATCATATAAATATTTTCTAGAGAAAAGGTGTTGAATTTAGTTTTCCAAACCACACCGGTCCTTTACTTTTCATCTACTCATTTAGAATATTAATTTTCTAGCATTTGAATTGAAACATATGATTCACTTGGGTTTATTGTTAATGTCATGTATAAATAAAGTGCACATCTGTAACTAAACGTTGATTAAAAACGTACACAAACAGAAGAAATGAGTTATGAAATGATTATACATACAGGGTGAAAAAAACTGGAACCCACTTAAGTCTTAATAACTTCGTCAATTATGTATTTTAAGCTTAGTCATTTGGCACATGTGTATAGTCAACTGAATGTTTGACAAGATGTCAACATTTTGAGCATTCTAGCTCAGTTAGTCCCCAAGTGAGGCACGTTTAGATAATGTGCTCCAAATGTGCACCACGACGTAGGGCCTGCAGGGCTGGATTCTTCTTGCAAAATTGTCAATGACCCGACTGCATTCATCTCTGTCTATCTCTCTAATTAGTCTTGCAATTTTGCAATGGTCAGTGGCCTATATGTGTACATATTATCCTTGAGATACCCCAACAGACAAAAATCTGGGGGAGGTTCAAATCAGGGGAGTGGGGGCAGATATGGCGTACGGCGACTGATTAATCGATCACCAAAGTGAACCTGAAGCCATCGAATGGACTCATTTGAGGTGTAGGGTGTGCAACCATCTTGTTGGAACCATTGCTTGTCCTTCTCAAATCACGACGTCTACCCAGCGCTCTCCAAAACTTTCGAACGGTAGGGATGTAACGTTCTGTGTTGACCGTTGACTCTGTCAATATTGTTTTGAGTTCTGACAGACCACTGTCTCCCCGAATTGGTTGGTTAATCATCACGTTTCTTCTTTGTTGGTTTCACAGTTCCTTCTGAATCAAACTTCTGTACAACGCCCAAGTGACTTGCAAGGGGCTCTTCTTGTCCTGTGATCTCTCCTATACAATTAGGCAGTTTGTGTCTCTTTGGGGTTTTGTCTCGATATACTTTTTCACAATATAAGTATTTTCCTCTGTCGTCCATGGCATGATTAATATCTAAGCTGCAGTACTCATTATGGTGTCATTTTGTCATGCATTCAGTTTCTACCCTGAAAAATGAAGAATGTAGGTATCATATTTTCCGAGAAATTTGATGATTTATGATTTTTTGTCACCCTGTACTAGCTATAGTATACTAGCTGATGTGAATTCCAATTAACGAACACATTTCAGGGGCGTGTCCAGAGTTATAAAAATTAAAAATTTACTTTCTAGCACAACTTGTACTCGCATGGATACGGTACATAAAATATAAACGATATATTGGTCCGAGTTATTGCACGGATGGACGGACGGGCGGATGTAGCCGTTCTCTATATCAAACGAACTTAGCAATATTCATGTTATCAGATTTCCTCTGATGTCCTTCGGGGGGGGGGGGGGGAGATCAAACAAATTATATCAAGTGAAAGTAATTTAAACTGTGATGGGCGATGCAATCCAAGCCTAGCCAGGTCATGACTGGGTAAGATATGTTATCTACAATAAACCATACGATACCTGCAATTTAAGTAGGTAAGATAGCGAAAGCAATGCGTTTAATAAAGCAGTTATTTGGCTACCCATCACATCAGTCCTGTTTTTGAGTGATACAATATGTATGTAGGGGGGGGGGGGAGGATTCATTCAAGTCCACTGAATCAACCTGCTATTTGTTGTTATAGTAAAATAGTAGAACAAAGAATAATTGCGTAAGCCTAATGCTAAATCTACGTACTGATGAACTTTTAAAGAATTTAGAATTTATTAAGGCACGGCCACTGTGTTATCAGGGCATGGTCAGACTACAATTATACAAACTACATTTATACAGTTACATTTATACAGTCACATTAATCTACAGAGATATTGTGTTGTAATGGTTGCGATGTTATAGGTTTCTTTTCTTAAAGCACATCTCAATGAAATGCAGGACTTCCCCCATATTTGATTTGTATGACATAATGTAGGCCTATAGGAACTTGTTTTCCTCAGTCATGTTAGAAAAGTCTTTATTTGACGTTTGAATTTTATCTAATAATATAGTGCGCTCATTTTCATAGATTTTGCATCTCATAACAAAGTGCAGCTCATCTTCAACACAATTATCTGAACATTTTGTACATATGCGTTCTTCTACATTTTTATTTTTGTATCTTCCTGCTTCTCTAATGAATGGTAAGAACGATCGCCTTGACTTCTACGTCACTGGTGATCCGCTCGATTACGCTGGTTACCGAAACGGAACCGCTTCGGTAACAAAATGTCGGAACGTCGAAGGTACGAAATTTCTTTTTTTCCTTATTTCACGCGTTGTAAGCAAAATCCCCACGACGTTTTTTCTCACAAACGTATATCAGTATCATATGTTTTAGAAAATGTACATGTTTGCGAAAAATTAACTCAAAATACAACAGATTCGTCGATTTAATTCCTCATTTAAGTTACAGAAATGGTTTGGGTTAAAAGTGCAGATCGTAACTGTTTTTCGAAACTGTCTTCTGAACTCTTTGTTCGCAAATACGTACATTTTCTTAAAGATATGATACTGATACACGTTTGTATCAAAAATGTCGTGGGAATTCTGCCTACAACGTGTGAAATAAGGAAAATCATACTTTTGATGTTCCGACATTTTGTTACCGAAACGGTACCAGCGTAATCGAGTGGACCACCAGAGTGCGTGTATGTCAGCGGGGTAAAATTACTTAGAATGCGTCACTATATTGATTGATCATGAATTGGAATACTTCGAATCTTTAATTAAAAAAGCAATGGAGCACCTGTTATTTTAGGTACCTGCCACTTTATATGTACAGGGTAACCCAAAAAATCAAATTAAAACCTTGAGATCGATATGCCAAACGATTAGTATGATATCACGCAAGTCATATAACAGAATATCCATCTATCCGAGTTACAAAAACTACAAGTTACGTAGTTAATTTTAATGAACAAAAAACTGATAAATTGTTATGCTCCTTAGGTTTCAACAAAATTATATGATATAATCATATTATCGATCGATTATCATCATCGATCCCCTTATCAATAATCTTTGAAATCATATTTTTCCATCATTCGATCTTCACTCCATATCCCCCCTCCCCTGAGATTTCATCATCTGTACTATCAGTTTTTATAATGTTAACCCCTCGAACCCCAATTTTCCATTCATATTCAAACTTTATAATTATATTATGTTGCAATCCCTCAAAATGAGATCACATTCTTTCTTGAGAATATGCGAACGTAGTTGAAAAGAATACTTCCATGTGTTACAAACGGAAAAGAGGGATACATTTTTCTGTAATTACTTGGCATGACAGCATATTTTAGGTGGGGTCCTAATCCACGAATTACTGAATAGTCTGTTGATACACCCCGTGTCTCACGTGGGTATTGAAGAAAACACCACTTTGTTTTATGTTTGTAATTTTGGATAGACTGTCTAAATTCGCTTGGTATCACCTTCGTTTTGCAGCACCCTGTAAAATAAGTATTTAAGAAATGAGACGCAGAGCTCAAATTCAGAATATTCCACGGACCTGCTTCACATATCTGACGACATATATCAGAAGAACAGATGAAATAAAATCCTCCAGGATCATCGGAGACTTCATTTCTTCCCCGACAAAAATATAACTGCACTTGAAGATATCAACGACTGGTAGGTATTATTTAATATGTTATCAGATACATTTCCAAAGTTATAATGAGTTACTATTTCATTTATAGATCGGTTTTAATTTTTTTCAAATATTTGATATGTCCCAATACACGTCACTGACTGTCTGAATCTGACAAATTGATCAATACAAGACACGAGCAGTGTAAATTGTTCGATAGCACAAGGTACTGGGAAGTAAGCTGATATATACAGCCAGAATTGATGGTTTTATAGCAAAAATACTGAGAATTTCCATAATAAACCAGAATATGAATGCTTTATACAAATATACAATGGGACATTTATGAAGCGGGAAATGTAAATTGTCTAATTTTCTGGGTTTTAAAATTGCTATTTCTTTTCACTGGCACACTAGGTCAAATATCTGTATAAATGTCCTTATTTTATTTTGTTCATTTTTTCAAATAGCGATCAAGCAGATTCGACAAAATTTGTGAATTATTTTTAAAAATCATAATTTCAAATATATCATGTTTTTACCTTTTCAAAGTTTTATTTAAAGAATTTATACCTAATCATCGCCAGGAGTCAAACAAGAAATAATTGCCTATGTTTTATAAAACATAAAACAATGACAAATACGTAAAATATAATATATCTATTTGAATGTTATACAGGGTGGGCCAAAAAACGTCCATGTTTTTGTTTTTGCTACAACATTATTAATATTACAGACAGGTGTTTAAATCATACATCATTGGAAAGACAATTCAATTTCCAACAAATTGATATATAATTTTTTCACATAAATAAGTATTTGCTTTAAAAAAATGTTTCGATTACCACAGGGGTAAAAATCATGATTTACCGATTGCTGAATATCGAATGCTAAAAACTGACCAAACAGATATAACTCCTTTGTCAGCTTTGGGGAAGGTCAAAATTGTTGATTTATGCATCAAATGAAGCAAATTAATTTACAAATACAATATTATTGAGTTCTTTTACCGTTTTGATAAGTATTGGTAATATTATAGCCTAAATAACGCGGAGAAATCAAATAGTTAATATTGACTCATTTCAAGACATTTTGAAAATAATGTCTATTTAAGGCTAAAGTTACGGAAAGTCACAAGGCAAGTCACGAGAGAAAAATATTGTGAAACTGTGACAACCTTTTCCAAACTTACTCTCCATGGTCCTTTTTTCCATTTACAAATCTCTTTAAAGTCTCGTTTTTAATGAGATTTTAAGAGATCTGCATTCTTAACCATTAAAGACTAAACTTTTCTTCCATTTGATGGCATATTCGAATTCCCTGTGTAATTTTCTATTAAAACAACTTTGATTTGCACTGTTATTCACCTTTATTCAAATTCTAATGATTCTAATGATTCTCTAGTTTTCTAAAAAAGGTCGGGCTAAATTCCCATTCACACAATGCTGAAAAACCTTTAAACAGGTTAAAAGTTTATTTACTCTTATAAGGATCACAATTTCAATGTGAAATATTCCAATGGTGTTTTAAGTTTATCCAAATGGAATTATTTCTTAAATCAAGAAATTAAGTGACTCTAGCGATAAATTTACATGTATTCTAGCCCTACCATAGCCCTACCAATACCCATGATGCCATCTATTTTCCATTTACATGGAAAAAGGTCAATTGTCTCCGTCGCTTCAGATTGTCCCTTTAGTTATGGAGTCCATAATAAAGAATATAGACGTTTTCTGGCGGCCTAATGATGCAGATGTTGAAAGATCATAGTTTAATTGGGAAATGCCCTGTTTGTGTTAATAGATTTATTTTGTGATTTTCTAGGGCTGCTAGGGAAAATCTAGAAGTCAGACAAACACAAAATGTTTTACGCTGCAAATATTGTAATGCTTAACATAATGTTTAACATACTGGCCACAACGTGTGTAGCAACTCATTTAAGAAGCTCTCCACAATCAAGTGGAGATATACGTAAAGAAGATATGCTCCGAAAGAGTAGTAGTATTTCTCAAGCAGAAAGAGTTTGCAAAGAAGGGCATCCCAATTGGCATAACAAGGAAACTTCACTGTTTTGTGACTCTTCCGTATTTGTCAAATCGTGCAAAAATAAATGTGGTAGTAAGACTGGACAATGTTTTTGCGATCTAGATTGCTTTCAATATGGCGATTGCTGTCCAGATTTTATCGAATCGTGTTCATATAATTTGATGAATAAAACAAATGTTCTAGACATTAACAGCAGTGAGAGAGGAAAATATGAATGCGTGGCGATAAACGGAACTATGTATGTGTATCTTGTATCGAGTTGTGATTTGGCGTATTATGATACACCCCTAGAGGTCTCATGTAAAACCCCTAAAGATGGTGATGACGAAGTTTTGTCTCTGACCCCAGCTTTGGATCTAGAAACAGGTGTTGTCTACAAGAATATTGACTGTGCAAGATGTAACAATGTGAAAGAGCCAAAACTTTGGGCGATACAAACGATATGTGAAGAGAAAATATTAACGGATCGAGATGTGAAAAATCCTGGTGTGAACTTCATTAAAAAGATTCTCACTTCGGAGTCATGTTCCTTCGGGTTTATTGTACCGAATAATGCCAAAGTACGAAGCTGTATGCCTACTGAATATAAATGCCCTAGCTGCGCGAATGACACATTGAGCAATCTCTGCGCAACATCCGGGTTGCATCCTGTTCAAGCCGCAACAGGTGGACCATATCCTGACCATGGGATTGTGTACCATAACAAATTTTGCTGGTTTTGTGCAAATCCCACATTTATGAATATACGAAGTTGCCACATAAAGTTAGGGTACAGAAGCTCAGCTCAATTTGAATTGTTCTCATTTCAAATATTAGTTGATGTTTCTGTGGATAATAAAAGAAAGCTAAATGTTCGTTCTTCTTCGGGAATTCATAGTGTTGACTTTGAACTAGAATGTACAACGGAGTCAAGTTGTATGGCGGTAGTTTGTCCCAATGGTTATATGAAAAATGAGGAAAGATGCGTTCTGAAAGGGAAATTAGTGCAAACCAATGTAAGTGCAACTACGACGAATGAAAACATGAAAGTATATACTAAGATTCTGGAGGATCTTCTACAAGATACATTTATTCCAACAGGTTACGTGAATTATGATCAGGTTTTGAAAGATCGCAAGAGCGATAATCGATACACACAAACGATAATGAGGTTCAATATATCATTCCCTGAAAATGTAACAAAACTCGATGTCAATAAATATATGACAAATAAATATGAGACATTTGTAAAGCTAGCAAAGTTGAAGGACTTGTCCCAGGTAAATATGACTTATGTGATACTGCCACCGGAATCAGTAAATCAAGAACCATTTCTAGATGCGATAAACAGTACATCCTCGCTTGCAGCAATCTGGTCTCAATTGATAACATTATTGGACATATTTTTGTTCATCATCATTACATTTGCAATGTAAAACATTAATCGTTGCCTTGGAGACATGTAAAGAAATGTAGAAATACAATTTCTGATTGAGTTATCATTTTAAAATTCTACACTTACTGTGAAATGTTGCATATTGGGTGGCTATTTTCACATAATGTTATGGTGTTCAAAATTCGAAAAAAATGAAATAAAGAAAAATTATCATGGAGAAGTTAGTTCAGCATATCTTTACTTAATTAAATCAATTAATGTTTATCAAAGTTTTATTTTTGAACCCCTTAATACAATGCCATTCAGCATCATAGTGATAAAAGTTGCACACAAATGTTCACTTCAAATACACTGTATGTTTAAACATGTTAAAGGGATGTTCCTTGCAAGCCAAATTCTTCTGAGATATGACAGCTATTTTTATGCCATCCATTTTTAACAAAACGTTGTAAAATGTTTTGATATGGTCAAAATTTATCATTTAAAAAACGAAGTGATCATTTCGTGATCATTTCGTACAGGCTGCCATCTTTTAAGAGTCCAAACAGATACAACTAGTCTGCAACTAGTTCACAATATGATAACTAGTCCAAATAGAGACAACTTGTCTGCAACTAGTTCAAAATATGATAACTAGTCCAAATAGAGACAACTAGTCTGCAACTAGTTCACAATATGATAACTAGTTCAAATAGAGACAACTAGTCTGCAACTAGTTCACAATATGATAACTAGTCCAAATAGATCAACTAGTGTGCAACTAGTCCACAATATGATAACTAGTCCAAATAAAAAACAACTAGTCTGCAATAACAGGTGAAGGTTCCATCAAGATGTCCAGTTCCTCTAGTGGCAGGTGGAGCCGGATCTCCTTCTCCATCATCAGTTCCATGATTTCTTCAAGTTGACTGGGGAAATATTGTATTGCATCAGTGTACAGAACCTGCAATACAATACAATTTACAATAAGTGTGGAAATGTATTGTACAGTGTCACTGCAAAACACCTGTAATACAATATAATGTACAATAAGAATGGGGAAATATTGTACAACATAGCACATGTAATACAATATAATGCCCAATAAGAATGGGGAAATATTGTACAACATAGCACATGTAAAACAATATAATGTACAATAAGGAAATAGTATACAACATAGCACATGTCATACAATATAATGCACAATAAGAATGGGGAAATATTGTACAACATAGCAGATGTAAAACATTATAATGTACAATAAGAAAGGGAAATATTGTACAACATAACACCTGTAATACAATATAATGCACAATACGAATAGGGAAATATTGTACAACATAGCACCTGTAATACAATTTAATGTACAATAAGAATGAGGAAATATTGTATAGCATCAGTGTACAGCACCTGTAATACAATACAATTTACAATAAATGTGGGAATGCATTGTACAGTGTCACTGCAAAGCACCTGTAATACAATATAATGCACAATAAGAATGGGGAAATATTGTACAACATAGCACTCGTAATACATTATAATGTAAAATAAGAATTGGGAAATATTGTACAACATAACACCTGTAATACAATTTAATGCACAATACGAATGGGGAAATATTGTACAACATAGCACCTGTAATACAATATAATGTACAATGAGAATGAGGAAATATTGTATAGCATCAGTGTACAGCACCTGTAATACAATACAATTTACAATAAATGTGGGAATGCATTGTACAGTGTCACTGCAAAGGACCTGTAATACAATATAATGCACAATAAGAATGGGGAAATATTGTACAACATAGCACCTGTAATACAATATAATGTACAATAAGAATGGGGAAGTGTTGTACAATTTAGTACCTGTAATACAATATAATGCACAATAGGAATGGGGAAATATTGTACATCATAGCACATGTGATGCAATACAATGCACAATAAGAATGGAGAAATATTGTAGAATATAGCACCTGTAATACAATATAATGTACAATAAGAATGAGGAAAGATTGTACAACATAGCACATTTAATACAATGTAATGCACAATAAGAATGGGGAAATATTGTACAACATAGCACTTGTAACACAATATAATGTACAATAAGAATGAAGAAATATTGTACAACATAGCGCCTGTAGTACAATTTAATGTACAATAAGAATGGAGATTGGAGAAATATTGTACAACATAGCACTTGTAATACAATTTTATGTACAATACAATAGGGAAATATTGTACAATAAGACTGGGAAAATATTCTATGGCATTATTTTACAGCACGCATATTCAATTGTTTGATCAGTCAGTTGCAGAGTAATTCATTGGACTATATTAACATTAAATTGAGGAACCATGACCTTTGTTTGACATGACATGCACCCTGTATTTATATACAGTGGTCAGTTGCAGAGTAATTCATTGGACTATATTAAAATTAAATTGAGGAACCATGACCTTTGTTTAACATGACATGCACCCTGCATTTAAATACAGTGTTAAATATTTACAGTTTTAAAGAGAAATAAAGGAAATAATTTAAGTGTTAATATGTTTTCATAAAAGTTTCAACATGTTAAACATTAATTAGTGTTTATCAAATTAGGGAAATTTGTGTCAAACAAAACAAATGTTAAGCTCGATGTTCTTAAGATCAAAGTACATGTGTAGTAAGAACATGACATCGATCTAACTTTCATATACCAACTTTTGAACATTTTTCTTGTCTGAATTTTTGTTTTAAAATTTTAAATGGTATTCTGCACTTTAAATCTACATGTACATTTTTCTTAAAAACTTTTCATTTTTCCATTCAAACATTTCAGTTCTCATTTTTCTATTCAAAAAGTTTGGCATATTCAATATTTTTAGCAGGTGCATTTTACAAACCACTAAGTATAACCTGGCATATGTTCAGATTAGACATGTAATCTTACCTTAGCCCATGGGCAATGTTGTAGGGCCCTGTAGAAGACACCATTGGCTCTGTCTAAGTTACCACATAATACCTAAATGTAGAAAATAAGCCACAATTATCCAACAAGGCATTAATATGACAAAATTTCACCACCTAGTTGCTCACAATATAATAAATCTTTTTTGACCTTGAGAAGGTCATTGAAGGCCAACATCTCAAATCTATAGTCAGATTTGAGCTTTTGAGAACTTGTAAATGATTTTGAAAAAAAATTTGGTGAATTTGAAGAAAGTTGAAAAAATACCTTTATGACCTTTTTTAACCTATTTTTGACATTGAGAAGGTCATTGAAGGTCAAATTTTAAATCTTAATCACATTTGAACTTCTGAAAACTTGTAGATGATTTTGAAAAAAATTGAAGTCAGTCTAAAAAGTGTTTGTTAAGTTATTGGAAGTTGTAAGAATTTGTTACAGACGCGAATCACCGACTGCCAATCGCCAACCATCAACTGCCATTCGCCGATCGCTGTCACAAAAAATGGAGACCATAACAATATGTCACCACTTTTTGGTGGTGACATAAAAATGCGAATGGCACATACATGAACATCATTGGGGGTAGCATCAAAACAAGTATAGATCAGCATATGATAATTATTTCAGTCTAGCAACAAGTGAACCCCCGGTCAATGAACCCCCCCTCCCTATCTGCTTCGATTCATCTCTTTATATTTAAGGGACTCACAAGGGCTTGATGCAGGACTATCTTCATTTGAATTATCAGTAAATGAATTCAAAACAGATTATAAAGTCCAATAGACCTTTCCAATAAATCCTGCCACATTTTGGTAAATCAAAGAATCAATGATATATTGGCTAGATTGACGGGCTTTGGCGAGCAATCCAAACGAAGACTTCCAATTGCCAAAATATTTGGGGGAGTGTAATTGGGAAGACCATAATTTGAAAATTGTGTTAAAGGAACATTCCTTGCCAGACTATTTCTTTCCTGATATGGTAGCTACAATCATATATACTTTACATATTTAGCAAAACACGGGAAAACATTTTCATATGGTCAATATTGATCATCTAAAAATGTAGTACTCATTCCCAGTAAGCTGCCATCTTTTCAGATTTCTTTCAGGAAGTGATGTCATCGACTCTCACCTGTTATAACCTTGTCTATTACAGTATAGGAAAGAAGTACAAAATCACTTCGAAACAAGAAGCCCTTATCTTCTGTGTAAAAATATTTTCAGGAGTTGTCAACTTAGAATTAAAGAAGAGATCATCAAAAGGATTTTAATCATAGACCAAATTGAAATAGTAATTAGTAATTCTAATAGCTCATTACCTAATGTTATATGCAAAGTTGAGAGTCGATGACATCACTTCCTGAGTGAAATTTTAAAAGATGGCAGCCTACTGGAATTGAGCACTACATTTTTAAGTGATAAATATTGACCATTTCAAAACATTTTTCTGTTTTTTGATAAACTTGCAAAGTATGTATATAGAAATTATCCTATATGAGGTTCAGGATATTGGGATTATCTCGAGGCCAATGTAATATATCTGCCCGAGGGCCGTAGGTCCCGAGGGTAGATATAGGATACTATATTGGCCAAGGGATAATCCCAATATCCTGAACCGACTATAGGATGATCTGTTTATCCCATACTTATCACATTGTTCAATTGGCCAAAGTTCAGAAACGTTGCAACCATCCGTGGAATTATCTTAAAATATTCATGTTCAGTTTTGTATTCTTGTCCGTAGGCGGGTTTTCCTGTTCAAATCTTTGATAATTAACGGGGCATATAGCTCCTTCCCTTCGTTAATGCATCCAACAGCGATTGTCTGCGTTTTTCTCCATTGTCGTTTACAGTATGCAAACGTTACAAAAAAGAACCAATACGGGAACAGCGATTATGACGTAGCGGGCAAATATACTATATCTGCCCGCTCGGAGCGGGACGTAAAGCTATATCTGCCCGCTGATGAAAATATAAGTTTTTACAAACCGGCTTTATGTACCCGTAACACGTCCAAGTATGGGATAAATGGTTATATCTACCCTATTAGGAGAGAGATGGTCTGGCAAGGAATACCCCTTTAAGGGTGACCCTTATGCCATAGTCAGATTTGCTCCAATTTTCGGTACCAGTGGCCAGCTGATGAGTTTTTTGTTCAAAATTGCATAAGTTTTGAACAAAATACACATCGGCCAGGGGCCAGTGTTGAAAATCCAAGCAAATGTGCCCACCAAACTACAATTTTACAATCTATGACTATATAGTATGAGTTTCTTCAAAGTGACTGAGACTATCCATCTTTATTTCTTACACTACAATATCTCACCTCAAACCTGATGTATAATCTCCAAATAAGGACACAGTGCTTTGTGATGTCACAATCAGTTGCTCGTTCAAACAACCGCCTTGCATATTGGCTCCCACTGCCATCTAGAATATTAAAAAAAATATTTTCTTTTTTCTCATAATGCACACCATTCAAATAGGAGACATCATAAAGGAAAGGGTTGGGAAACGGACAAGGGGTGGGATTTTGACATTGTCTTTCCTCTCCAATGAAGGGACTTTTGAAATATATCAGACTTGTAGCCAGGGGGATTAGGATGGGTTCGAGCGAATTCCTGCTGGCCCAAATTTTTTCAAAATCATGCAGTTTTTCACTATTTGGAGCACTATTTAACTGATTTTGGCCATTTTGGACAAAAATTTTCAAAAGTAAGAGAATTTTACAGCCAAATTTTTATTTTGTCACAATCCTTTTGATAGATGCATAACACACAAGGGACATCTCTTTCAGACAGGGTTTCACTAATTCTTAACATATTATTTTAGAACATATGCAAACCTGTATTTCCCATCTCTAGAATATGTTTCTGATGCTGAAGCTCAACACCAAGTGCACATATCCAGGTTGTCACATCACATTTCATCACATCATCTCTCGTCACATCAGCTTTAGTCACATCAACTCTATTATCCAGAATGCTCCTGAAGAACCGCCTTATGGGCCACATAATCCGGGACCCCATCTCCATGTTAATATACATCCCCAAGAGCGTGATATTACCTCGATAATTCTGATTGGCTTGTATGAGAGGCTTACGTAGAATCTGAATGCGGGAAATGTTGGTTTTGCGATGGTACTGGAGTAGCTCCATGTGAGACAATGTTAGATGTTCAGAGTCGATTAATACTTGGTTTCCAGTAGTATCTAGATCCACTTTTCTGCTGTAGGTTGTCAGAAAAGTTACAAGATCAATGAATACTTTGGAAGCAGTCTTTAAATCTGTGGTGAGGTATTCAAAGAGAGCGCAACACACCGTCCAATGTACAATTGAGCTACCATGTTTCTCAATATAGGGATAAGACAGGGGTGTTTCAACTGAGAGTTCTTGTTTAAGCTTATCTAAGGTCAATTGGAGATATTTTCTGGTTTTTAATATAGTCGCTGCTGATGGTCTTGGATACTCAGTTTTAGCTTCCCATGTTGAACCATCACTTATACTTGATAAAAAATACACAATGCGATTAAATGTGGCGTCATTTTGGACTACGAGAGGTTCGGGCTCACGTAGACCTAGTTCAGCTTCCAGATAACTCCTGTACAGTTTGCACAGTTGGGACGTAAGTAGGTGATTGGTCATATTCATAACTTTATGCTGGGACTGGTTCATCATAACTGACATATCAAACACTTTCCTGCCATCTGCTTTGTTCCCAAGTGTGTACTCTAAGCTCCCATACAGCTCATATAAAGCCAGACTATTGCGATTTTCCGGTTCTTTAAGTATGCTTTTAGCAAACTTCTTCAGTTCTTTCTTCTGCTGTTTGATAAGTTTCTTATCTGTTGTCAGGGCAACATCAGTTGTTGTGGCAACATCGAGAGTTGTGCGGATCTCAATCTGTAGCCAGAGGTGAGACAAATATTCTCGATATGAGTCGCTGAAACAGGGTAGAATCTGTTGAAATAAATTCCTGGTGAATTTGTGCAAAGTTTCATTGCAGAATTGTACTCTCTTCATACCAACGTCTGACAATATTTCAAGTCTTTGTACATCAGAGAATGATAATTGGGAGAAGTTTGTGTTATCAAAATTTTCCTGTTCAGATATCGGACTGTAGATGCCAAGATGGCCCAAGAAGGACTCTATAAGTTTAATTTTGATGTTTGCGTCATCAATTGTGAATAAACAGGAAGTTCTGTCATCATAAAGAACCATTCGATCGGGATCTTCACAATCTTCTTCTGTTTCCCCAGCAACCGTGTTTGGTCGCCATGGCAACCAGTGTGATTTGTGCCGATTTGTTTCAATTTGAGACCATTTTTCGAATTTTTCTAGCTTTTCATTCTTTACTATGTTGTCTTCAAGGTCCTGACTTGAAATATCTGGAAAATGAGATGTTTATAAAACAAATTGTATGGAAATACAGAAATTCTTTAAAGGGACTCAACACATACTTTTCAGTGTTTTTTAGCAAAACAAAGACTTTCTTTTCATCCCTTTGTATTTCCAATGGATTGATAAGGGTACTCAAACTCTGATTGACACCAAAGACAGCTCAAACTTGCCTCATTAGAGCTTATAAATTATCAAAAATATTTTCTATTCCCTCAATTTTAATGTCTACATGTAGTTTTTTGGGATGTTGAATTACGGATGGGGATGATATTCATATTCATTTATTTGAAATCGTTTTTGATAATTAATTATGACATCAGTCATTCAATTTTGGTTTAGATGTCCACCAAATATGCCATCTATACACTTGAAGCAAAGAGTGTTTAGTTTATGAATATTCAAGTGAAAGACATAAATCAATCTATACTTTTAAAGTTTTGTTTTATGAGGGGGTCAAACCATAATGAAAAAACGTTCTTTTTCGACAACTGTTGATCATTGGACACCATCATTGAAATATAAATACATGTACAGTACTCATAATTCCTCATTAGATCAATCAGTATCAAAACAAGTGGGCGCAGCACCCACCTGAGATTTTGAAAATATGCTTGCACCCAACTGAAAATTCATTTACACCCACTTGAAAATGAGAAAAAATCATGAAAAATGGGCATATTCTGACCGATTTTGGTCTGAATTGTGAAAATGACAATTAAGCACCGACTTGAGAAAAGATCCTGTGAAGATCACTGAGTATTTATATGTTTCTAGATAAATTACAGATCTCTATGACCTACCACTGATAGAGCTCATGGGAGGAGGATATTCTTTATCCTTGAACTGCAGACAATTCTTCCAACCAAGGGAGCCATCCTCCCCTAAACGAGGCACCCCACTATCCCAGAATGCTTCAAAGAATGCCAGTTTGTCCTTATAAGGAGCATCTTGTAGAGAATCTGGACAGAAACAGTTGAACTCTAGAAGTGCCTGGTATGATGCGATGGATTTCTCCGTCTGCCCACACTGCTGGAGGAAGTTACACATTTGGCAGAATATTGCTACAAACAAATATATCACAGCACAATTAAAAGATACAAAATCACTAAAAGAACACTTATCAAGTTCAAGTCAACATCTGAATTTCAATCTGTTCCGGATTATGAACATTCTCCTTATGAATATCATATCAACTTTCATTTTCTCATTGTTCATGTATTCAGATATTCTTCCAATTTGAGCCAGTTCATCCCCAAACAGAACTAATTTCTCTACTTTAAATTGCAACTTCTCCATTTTGATGTGTATCGGTCTATCATTTTGATTTAATATACAAGTGATGAACGAATGAATAGAACAGCCAACTTGACAATTTGGGTTGCTATTTATAATGGGGCAATACAGTTATAGGAAATACTGTGTTCTGATTGGGTAGAATTGGACACACCTTGCCTAGCTATGCACGAATTAAGGATTTAAGTCTTGGACTCAGTACAATGTGGACTGAATCATTCTTCTTAAAGGTGTTATTTCAACCTTTGCACGAGATGTGCAGTATCGAGTTTGAAGTTTAGGAAAAAATGCTTGAGTTGAATGAATCAGCCACAATGCATCAAGTCTTGGGCTTAAATTCTTTTCACACATCTAGTCAAGTTGGCAAAGCATCAATTTCAATCCGTTGAGTCAATTTGTCACCTTGACAACTATTCAACGAATGAGCTTGAGTTTGTCATTGGTATATAATGCAGTGCAATTATATGAATTACTGTGTTCGGATTGGTTGGAATCAGAAACACATTGCCTGAATACCTCTAGGTACTTAAACTAACTGAGACATTAGCCAATTAGCAATTCTCAAAATTTCAAGGTGTAGTCTGCAGAGAGGTAAAATTCCTACCTAGAAGATTATGCTCCCCTTGTGGTAGAGGTTGATATGTTGCCACCAGGCCCTCTTTGATGTTACTCAAGGCTTGTAGACACTTGTGGTACTCAGCTAGGATAGCACAGCTGCTGAATCCTGAAATATATATATCAATCATATGTGGGTGTCAGGAAAGTTAAAGATAATCTTTCTTGTACTTTCTGTGCTGTTCTAATCTGAACTTTATTCTAGCAATACACAAGTAATCATGAAGTATTCTGTTATCTCCCCAAGTTTGTTCTCAATCTTAAAATTTTGTTCAATCTTTTTTCCTGTTTCAGTGAACACATTTCAATAGTTTATCTGTTTTCTCAGCCGTTATCTTCAATCTTTTCATTCAGATACAAGGCATGTTGAATTTAATTCAATTCTAAAAAATACCTGTTACATCTGCCTGTAGAAACAATAGATAGTGTCTCCATAGAAATGGACTGTTGTTGTGTACAAACAACAATTTTTTCCAGCTTTCCACCATTTTTTCTCTTTCCCACAATGCTTTGCAAATCTGCAGACGGCTTACTGCAAGTTCAAGGTCAGTTGGATTTTTCTCAATTGCTTTATCTAGTATACTTAGTTTCTTTTCTAAAAGGGATAAAGCTGTTTTCTTTTTTACAACATCAGATTGTTTATCAGTTGAGTCTAAGACTTCAATGGATTTATCTTGGAAAGTGACGAAATCAAGCCACAATTTGATATTGTGTGGATTTTCTCTTAAGGAGATGTTGAATTTTTCTGTTTCAGCTCTAAGGAGCTTATCACCCTGATCTTCTTGGGATATATCAGAGGTTTCATTTTTCCGTTCATCTTTGCCTTTGATAAAGGCTTCAGTGTGTATATCATAGACACCAAGGGGGTTGGCATAAGTTCTTTTACCAAGTTCTGTTGGTCTGGAGTCAACTGGTACAAAATTATCATTCACTGACAAGGTCTTATCAAAGCGCGACTTTCCCATATTGACTGTTTCAGTATTTCCATCTAATAACTTTACTTTGTTCTGTTTATGATAATATCTTTTATCTTCATGTTTCTTTTTTGACTTTGTGAGATCGTTCAAGGTCATACCAGACCCGACACATCGTTTGGTTAATAGATGGTGCTTTGCAATGTGTAGCTTGTATAGTTCACCGAATGTTGTATTTTGAGCATCGGGTTTTCTGTCGATCCTAAAAGCATGTTCCGCCTGGAGATCGGGAATATCATTAATAAACACTTTATTGATGGTTGACTGCACAAGTCTCGCATCACTTGGAAACCTGAAAAATAATGCAGAGTATCAATAGTATAAGGATTGGTACACAACACTGCATCAAAATATCATTCATGTTAACTCCCCAACATTTAAAAATTCAATACTGAATATCTGAAATTCTGCTCCATGTTAAAATAAAGTGAAGGTGGACAGAACTTAATATCAATAGCAGTTTAATTTGTGCAGCCAACGATGATGAATGGATTGACCAATGGACGGACAGACCAACAGACGCCTAGTCAATCCATCTCTATGTGAGCCAAAAATGGTGGGGGACTCCCATTGATGGTCAAAGTCAATCTGTTCACTCTTCACTCGGATGAAACAAAGGGTCACAATTTTTTTTTTACTAAATTCGCCATTTTACATGAGAATTTTATTTTTTGTCGACCAGCTTTTTCCATTTCACTTTAAATTAGCATAAAAATAGCATATCAAAACATTTGATTTGAAACAATCTTTTCAATAAACAGGCTAATTTGCTTAGATTTTTACCATACAAAATATAATCTGGGAAGAGATATAGTGAAGTTTTAAGATGAAGAAATGTTCAAATTTATAGCCTTTAAACTATCAATGCTTTGACAGTTTTTTTTCTCACAAACCTTATTCTAATGTCTTGATCAAAATATGTCAATATATGAGCCTTGCCATAGCAAAACGGGTCTTATCACAAAATTTTAAATTGTGCTACAGAGCCAAAAATGTGCCCAAGATTAAGAGGAAAATGTGCTTAATTCAAATCTGTCTTTTTGGTCTATATCTGCAAGGAAAAAGTGTTAGCATGGCTCATTTAAAAGGTCTCTTTGTGCCTTTTAACATAAACAAAAAATCAAAAAATTGAAAAAATCAGTGATCAGACCCCTTTTCCTGTGGCCTGGCTCATCTCATCATTTAACAGGGAGCCAACTGATTTTCTAACATGGTTGCATGTAACTTTCAAAAAGGGTGGCACAGTTGCTCAAATGTTTGAGAGATCCCTGGATATAATAAATACCTTACCTAGTGTGTCTGTCTGCCTCCTTGTCTACATCAATATGGTGATGGTGTTTATCAGAATTGTCCTTGTCTGCGTCAGAGTGATCCTTGTGTTTATGTTTCTTGTGTTTCTTTTTCTTCTTATGTTTTCTCCTTCTATCATCATTGTCATCATTTCTGTCATCATCATTTTCTATGTTTCTCTTTCCTTGAAATATGAATTCAACACAACTATTTCAACCTGAACAGCTAAAGTTAATGATTTGAGCGTGTTCATCTGAGAATTGAGAACCCAAGTTCAAGTTCAATTTCTCCTCCAGACAAAGCCTGCCAAAAGATGAGTTGCTATATAGATAGATAAATAGATGGCAGTGGTGGTTTTGGTTCGGTTAGATGCCCTTATGAACTATGCTAAAAACTAAATTTATTTTTTTATCAGGTATTACTCCTAGGATCAATGTTAAACTAAATTGGAATTTGAATTTCAAATTCTCTACCTTTTGTTTTCTTTGCTTCAGTTCTGCTCTTATCAATAGCGACAACATCAAGATCCTCTTTACTTGAATCATCTGATCTAAAATGACAAGTTATTTCAGTAAAGTAGTCCAATATGAAAGTTTATAAAATATGAAACATTAGCATATGATGCAACGGATGACACATTTATATGCATAACATAACAAGACATTAGTATACAAGAGATAAACATACAAAATGTCACCACTTGCCATTTGTTACATGACAGACGCCATTTGTTATATGTCACCACTTGTAGTAATAACACTTCAGAATATGTATGTAATGAAACCTGTGTACAAGGAATGCTCTTCGCCCTGGCCAAAATCGTTCCTTGTAGACAGGTGTTCCATACAGAGAGGATGCATGTTTTGGGCCAAACCCAAAAAGCAAATTGCCAGATTAGCACAACTGGTCAGATGGAATTAAGCTTTGTTGAATGAAAACATTAGTGTCATGGCAATCTTTGAAAAACAGATTACTTTGATTGAAAAAAAATATTGGGGTAATTATTAACTGTGTATGAAACTATGCGTCCTGTTAACTCAAGGCTTATTCTACTATCATTCGAATTAATCTAATTTGTCTTAAACACTCTTCCTTCTTGTTCCTTACAGAGAGGGTCTGTTAACATGTAAGTCAATGGAAAAATATCTGTTTTTAAACCATTCATTTCCTTCTTGTTCCTTACAGAGAGGGTCTGTTAACATGTAAGTCAATGGAAAAATATCTGTTATAAACCATTCCTTTCCTTCTTGTTCCTTACAGAGAGGGTCTGTTAACATGTAAGTCAATGGAAAAATATCTGTTTTTAAACCATTCCTTGTAGACAGGCATTGTTTTCCATAAGACAGGTTTTACTGTATAGCGTATATGAAACACCCTGTATATTGGCCCAAATTGTAATTTCCAGCATTAGCATTCTATTTATGTACTTTTTATTATTGCATTCAATGAGTTCAATCATATTTTGTGTACCTTTCTTTTGGTTCTGACTTCACATCAGTTATTTTGTAGCTTCTATTAGAGAGCCAGTCAGCATTATTGTCTTTTTCACTGTCACCTGGAAATCAAACATGACTCGTTAGATATAAATTACGATTATATATTGGTTTATTGTGCATGTCACAATATACATGTATTGATGACATATGGTATAGATATATGATGACAATTTGTAGAAATCTGGCATTAGGCAGTGATGAATTATTGAAGAAATTTTACATTTAATAATTTCATAATTTCTAATAAATTCATCCAGTTTTTCCCTTTTTGCACAAATAGTGAACTTGGAAAAAGTTAACCTGGAGAATATTGCCCCTATTTCCTAATAAGGAAACACCTTCTCTCCATCCCACTGATAAGCCTTACCAGACATTTTGAAATACAAGTACTGACCATAGGCTTTCAAGGAACCCATGGACTGACTTATCGAATGCCTACCTGCCCTGAAGAGTATTATAGGCCTAATAGTAAGGGGAGGGAAAACCCCAGAACTTAGAGATGAGACTGAGACATAATTACTTCTCTTGATTACCACCTTCATTTGTCCAAATCCTAACCGGCTAATTTCCAAAATAACATGAAGTGATATTTCAATTGATTTCCTTACATCTTTCTTTATCTTGGTGAAATAACAAGCTATAACAGAAACCGACATATAACAAGATTATATCCCGTAAATTTCACTAGAAAAATATGAAGGCCATATGTGGGACCATATGTTAATGCAGAAAACTGATCCATGAACAGCAAACTGTAATACTTGTTTTGTAGTTGTTTAGGTAACATGTTAATGATGTCACATATTAAAATAGAATCGACAGAGATGGGTGACGTTATGATTATTTGTTTGTTAACAGTTGCTCGATGGAGCAAATATGTGAGTGACGTCATAGTTTTATAAAGTGATTCATTGATTGCTCAGTCCTTCATTGATTTACATACGAAATCAATGAAGTTATATCTATCTGTAAGCTAGAAACTCGAGTAAATCTACAGTCTTCCACACTATTTTTTTCGAGGTCTCCTCTGCCGAAGGCAGCGCGAAGTAGGAGCGTAGCGACTACTTTGCGGGAGACCTCGAACCATTGATCACGTTTGCTCCTGTAATTATTCACTTCTTCACCTCTTTAAAATGTGATTTCAATCAGTTGATCAAATGTTCGGACTTTGACCTCAAATTCAAATATTAATATTTATAAGAAAAAATACTGACTCATTGATATATTTTTAAAAGTCTTTTAAATAAAGTGAAATGAAGCCAAAATCAGCTAAAATTATGCAATGTCGTAAAATGGCGTGACTGGAATATGATGCAATCACCCGTGACGTCAGACACGTATTGCCACATCAACAACTAAACAAACAATTAATATAGACTTCACTGATTGGTTTAAAGATTCTTCGCATCATTTGTGACGTCATTAACATGTTACCCAACAGTAGGACGGCACATTGAAAAAAACCATTGTTGTTTACCAAACTTTATATCAAAGTGGTGTAGCGATATATGACGTCATCGCACTACTTGTTTCTGGTCCGTTGGCTACCATCTTTATGAGGTCCATTGAAATGGTAAACATTTAAACATTTAAAAATGAAAGAGATGGATAGAATTCTAGTGATCTCTTCTTTCGAACTATCTCATTTTAATGTTAGAAAAATACACATGAATGGGAGTAAAATGCAATCAAACACGTGAGACTTTCACTCATTTTGTACCCTATATTCGTGCGATTAATTAATTGATTAAACATCATTTTTTTAAATGTCTGAATCGCTTAAAAGTTAAAGTAAATACGATATTTTATAAGTACCAAATATCAATCAGTTCCGATTAAATTCCTTCATTTGTTACATTTTCTGCGAAAACGGTTGGGCATAATTTCGGTAGAAATGTGTATTTTACGACGTTATATGCATGGTTGAATCCAAAAGTAGCGTCATTCAGAAAATTATCATGTGTGCGTAAAAGCATGTGGATATTTCATTTTGAGTAACTGAATTATCAAATTGACATATACATTGTCTTTGGAACATCACCTTTACACAGAATTATTTTCATAATGATTGCTCGTTTTGTTCCATGATAAAATGCAATTTTAGACCTGCAGCTGACTCATATCAAAAATTTTTTAGCAATGAGTTCAGGCTCACTGATTTTTAAGATACACGTAGATGAAATGAACAAAAAAGGGAAAGGGTTATGTGTGCGGTAAAGCATGTGAATATTAAACTTTCAATAAATGAATTACAATTTTGATGTTTATATGATCTGAAGAACATCACCTTTACACATAATTATTTTTATAATAATTGTTCGATTTCTTTCATGATAAACTGCAATTTTAGACCCGACATGTATTAAAGAAGTATCGGACAATGTATTAAGGCTCACTGATTTTTAGGATAAATAAAATGAGCAAAAGGAGAAAAGGTCACGTGTGCGTAAAAGCGTGTCAGTATTTGGATTTGAAGAAATGAATTTAGGTTTTGACATTAATATTATTTGTGAAGCATCACCTTGACATAGAATTATTTTTATAATTTTTGCTTGGTTCCTTCCATGAGAAAATGCAATTATAGACCTGGCACGCGTATCAAAGAAGTATTTGGCAATTGCGTCCAGTCTCTTTGGTTTTCAAGGTAAATGATATAAGCAAAATTGGAAAAGGTCATGTGTGCGTAAATGCGTGTCAGTATTTAATTTTGAAGAAATTAATTAATTTTTTGACATAAATATTATTTGTGAAGCATCACCTCTACGCAGAATTATTTTTATAATTTTTGCTTGGTTCCTTCCATGAGAAAATGCAATTATAGACCTGGTACACGTATCAAGGTTGTATATAGCAATTGCGTTCGGTCTCCTTGGTTTTCAAGGTAAATGAAATGAGCAAAACTGGAAAAGGTCATGTGTGCTTAAAAGCATGTGAGTATTTAATTTTTGATAATTTTTTGACATTTTTTACATTTATTATATCTATGGGGAATCATCCTTACACAGAATTATTTTTTGATTCAAATTTAGTTCCTTCTATTAGAAGGCTTGGCTAAGATTGGTTTATATGTATAAATGTAATGAGATTTTTATGTTTGAATCGCACAAAAAGAGATAATGTCACATGTGCGTGAATGCATGTCAATATCTTATTTTAAAAACTGAATTATGATTTTGACATTTTCATAAGCTTTAAACCATTGCCTTTCCACATATTTATTTTCTTAACATGAGAACTTTAAACACGATCTAAATAAGAAAGGTCAATGTGAGTTGAATTAAAATTTGGAAAAATATCAATTATCTGCGCATTTTCGTTATATTACGTCATACGGGATTTCGTGCTTTAAATGGGCTGAAGGTGAAGAATGGCACGTGTACGAAAACGTTTGTTACCAATTCATCTTTCAAAACACATTTTTATTTTTTACATATCTATGATCTATGATATATAACCTATGTAAAGAATTATTTTCAAATTAATTGCTAGGTTAATTCAATAAGCAATTCTGAGGTATATTTGAACTTTAATTCCATAGCAGATGTAATTCGGACAAAAGTTTTAAAATTCAAGAAGAGATTAAATCAATCAAAATAAATCTTATGATTCAACCGAGTCGACAATACTTGGTTCAGTTCTTTCATTTTAAATCATACCATGGTCATAGATTAACATAAGTGACCGTTCGAAAACATACCATTTTGTAGAAAATGAAAGAAAATCGCGTTATAACATGTATCGAGTAATTGCCAAGTTTACGTCTTAAGTTTTATGTGGTAAACAGCATTCTTCATTAAGTCACACATATAAGTTAAGGGAAGCAAAAGATCATTTTAAAAATGAAACATATCAATAGATATTTTTAACATTGAAATACTTTTAGAAAGTAAGCTTATACTAGTAGATTTGCTAGAACTAGCTGTTTGGAATTCATTAACTTTTCTCCACAGGATCATTTCGTAGTACAAATGCTGGTCATTTAAAGGAAATATAGGTTTCAACATCCCCGTCTATGAATATTGATCTTTTTCAAACAGCAAAGGTAAGTTTAAAACAGAAATACTTCTTACGAATCCAAATTACATTTTAAACTTAGAATTGGGATCTACGATCTTATGGGTATGTCACAAAGATTAGATACATTCACTCAGCATGCCGATAAACATATAGTTAACTTTACAAGCGTAACTATAGGTAACTTCGATTTTAGTATGTTCAAGTTCAAGTTCTGTAGTCTCGAGAGTCAAACGATTATCATAGTTTATTTGGCCTGCTTTTAGAATTGGGAAAACAAAGGCAAGGTTTATGTTTTATGAACATTCTGATTTGATAGCAAACTTTATTTTTGAGTGTATTAAATCAAATAAAGCTTATTGCGTCGGGACCTGTACGTTCGCCCAATTAAAGGCAAATGTGCCGTCAATTAAAGAAACATGCACAATGGTACACCGTTTTTGGAAAACATAACACTGATAATAAAAATTCATCAATTGTTATGAAATTTGCACCATCATTAAAAGGAATCTCGAATTTCATGATGACAAAATATCAGATAAATATGACAAGAACTAAAAATTTGTTACATTTTTTCCTAAAAAGTTGTAAAATAAAAATAAACTAAAAAAATAATATTTTCACGACAAAAAATAAATAGTTCAACTGTTTTGATTCTACATGACGTTTTCAAAGAGTAGAGAGCTAGATTCAAAGCACCGTTCCTGCAAGTTTCAAATGAAAATATTAAAAAATGTGCGAGTAAGAGGACCGCAACTTTTTATGTCTACACTGACAAAAACTTGAAATTCCCGTTGTAAAGATATAGTCCCACGCGGAAGTGCACGTCATAAAGCTGATGGGTTAAGGCAATGTGCCGTCCAACTGCCAACCAACAACTAAACAAATAACAAATAGGCATATAGGTTCGTTCAGTGCCACGCTCTTGAATCAGTTATAAACAGGGATAATCAACAGATATGAGAGGGTCAGGCATTTTTTGACTTGGAGACCTCGACTCGAGGAGTTTGCTGCATATTCTTTTTAAGTCAAAGAATTTCAAATTTGATAAAAAGTGACAAAATCGTACCTTCAGTGCATTTGTTGGATATAACATTGTACGCTGGGAACAATGACATCTCTCATACAAGTCGTGTAATAAGTATACTGAGTTTATGCTCTTCTAAGCGTAAATGAAACAACTAAACGTCGCTGCATCGAACATTTCTATTTTTACCGGATGTAATGTTTTGTCTAACCAGAAGCAGCTTTCTCATTTTCTACCGGAAGTCGTGAAATTTGACATTTTTAAAATCTACTGATTTATTGATTTAAAGCGATCATGTCTCCAGAAAATGGAATTTCAAGGCCCGAAATAATAGCAAAGATTATATCTACTCTATTGGGTCTAACCCTATCGTTTGGTGTTTCATATTTTGCACTGAAATGGCTAGGGGACAAAATGGACCCAACTCATAAAGAAAAGAAAGAGCAGAAGAAACAGGTAAAGTGGTGAACATAAATAATGACACTATGAAAAAGACATTCCGTCACATATGTCATAAATTTTTACCTCAGTGAATTGAGTGCTCTATTTTCTCCGTCCTGGAATGTACAAATATAGTGGAATTTGTGTCCGTAATGACAAATAGGAACTTAAAAATTTTAAGTGATATTCACATGTTAATGCTGGCTCTTCAAATGTTGAGGTGATTTTGGAGCCCGATTACGCCGTAAGGAGGACTGGCTCCCAGAATGCAACATGACACATGCCAGCTTTCAAAATGCTGTTCCGCCATTTTGAAACCTGTCACGATCGAGTACATATGAAAGTATCTTTAATTCTGTGCTGGATGAAAGTCATTATTCCATCTGTTGTGATTTTCAATCATTTGGATATCGAGCTCTGTCTTTTGTTGTGTACCATGGTTGTGAGAAGTTGTTCTATTAGCTGACTATATTTACCAGAGTATGAAGTTGAAATTCCCCTTTCATATTTTCGTGGCTATTTTACATGTGTCTCGTATTGGTATGCGTCACACAATCTCCAGTCTGATTGATTTTTTGAAAATATCACAATAAATATCACATTTATTACCTTGATGACCTCTTGATCCTTGCAGTGTGTACATATTAAGTTGATTAACAGTGTCTATTTTTCAATTTCAAAAGGTACATTATATATGTGCTGTCTACCAACTAATTTCCTTCCACAGTGGAGATGTGTCTGTTCTGAATTTTTATGCAACTCCTCATTGGAGTCACATGTTTTTTCAAGGAATAAATAACTTGTTTTACATATGGTCTAAATCGTTCATATTTGCATAAAGAGTGCACTAAGGTACCTAGAAAAGAGTGTAATGAATAATGTTTTTATAAGATGTATTAAAAATGAGAGAATAAACTACTTGATATACTGTAGGTAATTGAATTTTCTCATTTTTCATACATTTTATTAACAAAATATACTCCACACTCTTCTAGATACAAAAGTGCACCCTTGAAAGTACTTTTTGTATTTATTCAACTTTTTTTGCTTTTAAAAGAGAGCTTCATCTTAGGTAGTTTGTAACTAGACTCTGTATACAGGATACCAGGAGGAATCCTGGCTAAATTCCCAACAATTTAGAAAATATATTAATAAAGCTGTTGTCTCATTGGTGGAGTCAAAATTATATTGAGCTACATTTACATGTACTATTAAATTATACATAAATGTATTGGTATTTTAAGGCTGAGAAGGTGCTCCATATGATTGGTGTTAGAGATATTAAGGTGCGTATGTGTATAACATGTATAATGGGTTCTTATTTGAGTATCTAAGTGTCAGAGGCACTTTAAGTTGTAGATGTAATGATAATACATGCACAATGTAAAAATAAAAGGTCAACATTTATTCAGTTGTTGCAAAATTAATTCATTTACATGAAAAGATTTTTATGGACAATTACATCACATCTCTAATGTGAACATTTTTTTCTCTTTAATAATTTTGTTATCTTCTATGAACTCACATAGCAAGAATTCATGAAATGTGAACACCTGCTAATCTGAACATGTTTGGCCGCTCCCAGTAGTGTTTGGATTAGACAGGATTACTTTGGTTTAATGCCATTAATTTTGCATTCTAGTTGTCTGATTATGAGCTGTGTATTGCCTCTAACCTAGTTGACCCACTAAGCATGGTGACATCATGGGATGACATCGGAGGCCTAGATGACATCATACAAGAGATCAAAGAGACTGTCATATGGCCATTTCAGAGACAAGATTTATTCAGAAGCTCTCAGCTATTACAGCCTCCTAAAGGTAAATATACAGGGTGGTTCAAAAAATATTTCATGAAGTGTGTTAACTCATTCATTATTGGCATGACTGGTCTCAAACTTTCTGAGATGACTAAGAATTGATCCATTAATTTTGGTCCACTAATTTGGAGATGTTCGACTTTAACATTGGGTTTGTAGGTGATTGAACTCTAAAACTTTCAGAGGTGTTCCACTTTCAGTGCTTTTACTGTACTTTTATGTATCTTCCAGGTGTATTACTCTATGGTCCACCTGGCTGTGGGAAAACAATGATTGCAAGAGCCATGGCCAAGGCAGCAGGTATGGTATATCTAGTTTCAGTAATGCCATAAGCCATAAAATAAATCCAGATTGAAAAATAATTGATGATAATACTTGGTTATATTTAGATAGAACAATAGCATGATGTTCTATTGATTGGCAGAAATGAACTTATCACTTGGCCAAGTGGCTATTCACTTTATTGTACAATGTTTTTACAGATGCCAGGTTCATCAACCTTCAAGTGTCTTCTCTTGTTGACAAATGGTATGGAGAGTCACAGAAAAGAGCTGAGGCTGTCTTTTCTCTGGTAAGCAGATCTGGCAAATCAAGATTTACCCTTGATGAAATATTGATTTTTTTTCTAAATCCAGAGAAATGCCATTTCAACATGATTCCTACAAAAAATTATTGATTTGAACTATGTATTCTACCATAGCATGTAAATATCCACATGTAATGACCCATTTTAACAGTGCTAATCAAAATCAGTCAGAAATACTTTATCTCTCAAAGAGACTTTGTTGCAAGATGATTTATTTATTTTTATTTTATTTTTTTCAATTTATTTCAATTTCCTTGATATTGATATAAATACAAAAGTATGCCTTTGTTAACTTAATAACATTATCGGCATAGTAGATGATTTATTTATTTCTAGGCCATTAAGCTGCAGCCGACAATTATATTCATTGATGAAATAGGTAAGCTTTGAAATGTTTCCAGTTACATGTAATAGGGAGGTTAATAATTAAGATACACATTTGGAAGATAACTTGTACATGTACATGTAATATCTTAACCCTCAGGGATAACTGTCCAGGGTTTTCCTGGGAACATATTTTATTACAACTATTCCAACTTATACCTTTATATTGATCGGGCAAGTTAATACAACAAGTGGGAGATCTTATCCCTAAAGGACCTGAGTTGTACACATTCATGTACACTTTCTCTTAAAAATGATTGGCTTAACCTCCCTATTATCTGAACATTAGACTACTTTTCTGAAGGGTAAAATGCAGGAAACCTAAGCTGAGATCTTGCAGCATTGTGAACTTTAGGATACACCAATAATTGCAAGCCTTTTGTTAGTCAAATCTCTGAGCAACTTGTCTAGTGCCTTCCCACTTGCAGATATTTGATTTCCCAAGGTTTAGAGCTAGATTATAATTGTCTTTTTGTTAACGTTAATGTTATATCTTTGTTACCATGAATGTTGTTTTTTACCTTGTATGGTTTCTATTGTTACCATTGATGTTGTCCCTTTGTTACCATGAATGGTTTCTCTTTGTTACCATTAATGTTGTATTTTTGCTGCCTTGAATGTTGCCTCTTTGTAACCATGAATGTTGTCTCTTTGTTATAATGAATATTTTCCCTTTGTCATAAATGTTATCAACAAAATTAAAAGTACTTTTTAAGAACAGTTTTGCCTAGTACAGTAAAACTTGTTTAAGTGGAACACATTTGGTACCTTCAGAAAGTGTTCTAATTTAGGGATGTTCCACTAACAGAGGTACATTTATCATTAAGTCAATCGGTCATGGTCCATTCAGGTTTTACTGAACATGCATATAAATATCAAAGAAACTTCAAATTTCCAGATTCTTTCCTGAGATCCCGTAATTCCTCAGACCATGAGGCGACATTAATGATAAAGACGCAGTTCATGAGCTTTTGGGATGGGCTGATCACTGATAACAAATGTCGCGTCATGATAATTGGCGCCACTAACAGACCACATGATGTGGATGATGCAATACTCAGGCGGATGCCAAGTATGTTCAATATAGGACTTCCAGTAAGTTAAATTTTTAATTGCCCTTCAAAATGATTTTTTCTTTTGTTTTGTATTTTTGTTTTCGGATAGGTTGATATTTTGATAAAAAACATATTGTTCAGTATTCTCCAACTTTTTTGTGGATGTTGGTCTTTGGTTCGTATTCAGTAGTCAGCGTTTGGCATCCACAACAAATGACAGGTGGTGATATTTTGCATGTTTATGCCTTATTTGTTTGTTATCTAAACTTCATGATTTCATCAATCTCATTTTATTTTAGAATGCAGTCCAAAGGGCTAGAATATTGAAACTCATCTTAGAAGAGGAAAATGTAAGTATGAACTAGTGCATGGTCATTTTTTTGAAAGCCTAAGGTACAAATGTTGATCGGGGAATGTCTGAACAGGTACCTCAATATTAAGGCTCCCACGATGTTCCAAATATTCGATATATGTGACAGAGAAAGCAGCTTTTCCATCAATTTACAGTTTGTTGGATTTTTATTATTTCTTTCTTATTTCCTTCATATAACAATAAATGAAAATACAAATTATTTACAGTGGACACCTAATATAGATGTATATACTGCTTGATTTAACATAAATTGAAAGTTGGAACAAATGAAACAGTTTTCAAAAGAATTACACATTGACTCGCATATCAATGAACCATCTCTGTATAGAAAACCTATCTACAAGGAACAATTTTGTCTGTTACTTGTTGAGCGGCAGAGATGTGAATGCATTAGGATGGCCCAATTACTCCTTCCACTATTGACTAAGCAGTCAGTAAACTCACAGATTATTGGCCATGCTTGTGTGTGAAACTAAATGTACATATGTTGGATGACAAATGTATGGAGGGTACATTCATATACACAGGTTGTATTGTATATCTGGAACATTGTATAGGACCTATAGTACTTTATCATATGATCTGTATTCCTACTGAGATTGTCCCCATTGATCATCTCCGTCGCAATACAGAAAATATTGGTATGGAGGGGACATTCTCAGTAGCAATACAGAGGATCACACAATAAAAACGTTATTGAATGATTTGAAGTGCAATACAGGATATATTCTGCTCTCGATATTCTGTATTGGCACTCAACTTTCCAATAAGGATTTCTCGAGCAGAATATATCCTGTATTGCACTTCAAATCATTCAATAATTCAAGTCCGTATATGCCAGAAACATACAATGATGTCATATTGTGTGTTTATCTTACAGGTATCCGGAGATGTAGAACTAGACAAAATAGCTGTGCAATGTGATGGTCTGTCGGGTAGCGATCTGAGGGAACTCTGTCGTCAAGCAGCCATCTTGAGAGTGCGGGAACACATTAATAACGAAATGGATGAAAATGGCGATGAAAGGTACACAGCTGTGCATGTTTGAACTTTTTAAATTTCTTTAAATCTTATGGGAAATTATGTGGAGTGTCAAATGTTTAATGTCCTGACGAATGTCCAAATCTTAGGAGAGGTGAAAAATCCAACAAATTGAAAAGACGAAACCTTTCATAAGGATTTTATATTGTTCAATAGTAAAAATGTCATAGCACAAACAGAAACTGATTGAATGCAGAAAATACAAACATTTTTTTAATATTCCAAATTATTTTCCAGTTTTCATGATGCGACACAGGAGGTCGAGCTTAGATCAATATCAATGTTGGACATGACACACGGACTAAAGAAACTGCTAGAGACTAAACTTAAACCAGGATTCCCACAGCAGATATCATTGGACTAAAATCAACTCGTCAAATTTGCTGGAGATATTGCAGAGTGCTTCATATGGAATTATTATCAATGCTAGATACTTGTATGAGGAGTGCAAATGAAATGATAGACTTAATGCAGACACCGATTTATAGACCTAGCATATAGTTTCCACTGCAGCTCAGAGCATTGATGATGTCTTAAACGGCTGACAAAACCATCTAACATATGTATATAATTGTACATGTACTTGCTTAAAATGATTGTATATGTATATGATGTATATAATTGTACATGTGTATGATATATAATTGTACATATACATGATGTAAATAATTGTCACAACATGTTTTTGTAGCCTTCACTGAATGAGTCAGTATAAACAAATAATCAATTGCAATAAAAAATATAATTTCAAATCTCAGACTTGTATGTAAAGCATCCTGCAAATGATCCAGTGGATTTTTTAACAGTTTTGTATTTTAAAATAAATTATTGGAAAAAAATAGTTCAGTTGTTTGGATTTTAGATGCTATATCATTTCAGACATCATTTTTTATAAACATTTTTGGCAAAACTTAGCAATATTAGTTTACTTCAATCCAGAGTGGCCATTGATGAGAAGCCAGTGAACAAGTCCATATGATTTCTGGATTAAAATGGATGTGACCGTTCAAAGGTGAAGGTCACTCATAAGTTCAAAGATGAAGGTCGGAAGTTCAAATCTGAAGATAGTGAATTCATTATGAGGGTCAAAAGTTCAAAATTGAAGCTTATAAGTGGCCAAGTGACTTATAATCGTTGATTAAATACATCACTTTTGTTACGTAAATGGAACTTCAAAAGGGTTGAGATCTGCACTTTTAACCCCACACATTTACGTAACATTACTGAGGTATTAAATCAACGATTGTGTTGTCTTCTGAACTATTTGCTTGCAAACGTGTACATTTTCTAAAACTTGACACTGACACATGTTTGTGATAAAAATGTTGTGGGAATTCTGCCTCCAACGCAGGAAATAAAGAAAAATCGTACCTTCGAGGTTCCGACATTTTGTTACCGAAACGAATCGTAATCGAGTGAATCACCTGATAATATGAAGGACCAGTTAAGATAAAAAGGATCAATTAAATATTAAGGACCAGTCGAAGCAATAAGGACAAGTTGCAATATGAAGGACCAGTTAAGATAATATGAAGGACCAGTTAAGATATAATGGATCAGTTGAAATATTAAGGACCAGTTGAAGCAATAAGGACAAGTTGCAATATGAAGGACCAGTTAAGATATAATGGATCAGTTGAAATATTAAGGACCAGGTAACACAATAAGTACATTTGCAATATGAAGGACCAGTTAAGATATAATGGATCAGTTTGTGCAAAAAAATATTTTGTGGCAGTCAACACTTTTGGTTCCACTGTTATGTTATCATGATTACCATGGATAATGAAAATAAATTAAGACACAATTATAATGTTACAATTATACAACAATTTATTGTGATTTCACACTGGATTCTTTTAAAATAAGTTAAACAAATAATATTTCTATCTTCACTCATAGAAGAAGATGTATGTAATTGTTTGACTAAGCAACATTTCTAGGCGACTCTATCTCATAATACACATAGAATACATCTACAAGTCTACAGTAAACACCATACTGTATATTAACACATGATTACAAGTCTACAGTAAACACCATACTGTATTTTAACACATGATTAACAGCACATTCAAAAATAGTTCTATGTAATAGTCATCTTTGAACAAAACAATGGAGGACACATATGTAATTTCCATCTTTAGATAAATGTCATAATTAAAAGTGATATTACAGTTTTAACAATGATATTACAGTTTAAATGATATCCCATTTCATTCCAGTGCTCTAGTTAAGAAGTTTAGACAACTTGATCAAAATCAAAACATAATCGACATGTTGGACAAGTTGCAGAGTGATTCCTATTCGTAATGCAAATATATTGAGTTGCTCTGTTTTATCAACCTCACATAGACAGATAGAAAAAACAGATGGAGTGAGGCCTTATATCTAGAGTCTATTTACTGAGCCGTGTTCTACCTAAAGATTAGTTATTTACTGTACCGCACAGTACTTTATTGTACTGTACTGTTCTGTACAGTACTGTACAACAATGTAGTGTACACTGTATTATATATTGTGTAGATTACTGTACAGTTTGGAAAATATATACTGTGCTCCTTACACCAGAGCAAATTCTTACATGAAAAAATACTGAAAAATATACATATGTCTCCAAAGGTTTGTTCATACTTGTATATTAACATTTTATACACTAACATGTAGTACAGTTATCATCATCTAAATACATGTACACTAACATGTAGTACAGTTATCATCTAAATACATGTATTGATAGGCAGTGCAAAATCGTTCATCTAATGCATAAAGGTAACAAAAACTAGAATGAACAATGAAATGGTAATTATAACAGCTAAAAATGAAGTAACTAAAATCAAAGCAACAATTAACTAAAAAGAAACTACAGAAAAATTCAAATGGCTTTCTTGTTTTGGGAGTACATGAACGAAAATCAATTTTAGTTTGGCCTCGTACTAAAGACATCAGAAGCAAAATCAGAAAATGATTTGCTGTACAACAGTTAGTGCCAATTAATGTCATAAAGACTGATAAAAAATACAGATTTCTGTTTCCTCTAAAAATACATTCACAAAAATAGTACAAACATCTGTGATCAATGTTGTGAATTATGAATAACCATTAAAAGCACTAACATTCATACTTAATAACAAAATAACAGTTAAGACCTTTGGCAACTGATATTCCATAATATTAACAATTATAACAAGTGAAGAAATCTAGTAATTAAATGACATATTATTATGTACAACATTTAATATCATTCTAACCTATAATAATTAATTATACGAACATATCTGAGAGTTCTATTCACGAGATTAATTTCACCAGAAATTGCAATATCTTATATTAATGTATATTCATTTGGGTCAATAAATATTTTATAATAATGAAATGTAACATAAAATGTTCAATTTTCCATCTCATTGATTCTACATTTATTTAAAACCTTTATATTTAAGTGTTTTAATCAACACTATATTCATTTTTTAATAAAAAACACACTGTGTTTTCATAAAATCACATTTACCATATATACTTATGGTAGCATAAAATAATTCATTCATTAATTCAAATAATTATATAATATATTATACGATGAATTTTAACAACATTGAACACTACAGTACAACATGGAGACGCTAAAATGTTGCAAAATGTAAAATTCAAAAGTCTACTATACAATACATACAGTATACAGTATATAGATATTTATAAAACTCTCGTTATATATATATATATAAAACCCTTCTAAAGATAAAGTTGTCATTTAACTTACCTAACAAACAAAGTTATAAATTATATTCAAGCTGATCCAGCTTAAAATTAAAAATTGCCTCCACGACGAAGAGATCAGTTTTACATCAAGCTGTTCATCAGAGATTAAATACAATTGAAAAATGTTTCATTATTCTACTTCAAAAATTATGAAATAATTCAATTTCTATAGGTGTCATTCTTTCTATAGTATAGTACTAACAAAAATCCTGGCAATAATCCCGCATGTTTTGAGCAAATATAAACATTTCAGTAAACCTCTTATTCATTACAAAGAATCATCATTTTGCACAAAGAATTCTGGGTAAATTCCTCCCTCACTGTCATTTCTATCCAAAATCAATGTTTAACAGCTTACACTGAGAATTTTCAGGCCTAGTCAGTAGTGAATAGTTAGAAATGCTTTGTCTGTAATACAGATGTAACAGTAGGAAACACATTGTTTCACAACATCTTCAGTTGTATTATTGTGAACTTTTGCATCACAAGTGGCCATGCTTTCTTTTAAGGGTTAAAGACTCATTCTACAGCGAGACTCAAAAATCCCAATTCAATTCCAACTTGTAATTTCAAAGTTAACATGGTGAAGTTGGAGTAAAAATGATGAAGTTCTGTAAATTTTTCCTTTGTTTCTGGTGGAGAAAACATGAGCCACAGTTGTAACACATGAGCCACAGTTGTAACACATGAGTCACAGTTGTAACACATGAGCCACAGTTGTAACACATGAGTCACAGTTGTAACACATGAGCCACATTTGTAACACATGAGCCACAGTTGTAACACATGAGTCACAGTTGTAACTCATGAGCCACTGATGTAACACATGAGCCACACTTGTAACAAATTAGTCACAGTTGTAACACATGAGCCATAGTTGTAACGTATGATCCACACTTGTAAAGATCCACGTTTCTGACATATGAGCCACACTTGTAACACAAGAGCCATAATTGTAACACATCCAAAACTAATGTTTTTACAATGAGATCTAAATAATAAAAATAAATGCAGAGTTCTGATTGAGAATTCCAATAGAGGGAGCTAGTGTTTGCATAATGCATTTTTATGGTATCACATGACGATCTGTGTTGGGATTTTCACCCCTTAAAACCCCTTTATTTATTTCATTTTGCTTAGATATAGCAAACTCAAAAATAGACTGATTGATTCGGCATGGGGTGGATTAGTATTACATTTGCATAATGCCACTTGAAGTTTCTTCCTTCTTGAGGTATTTGAAACACATTTGCATTAACTAGTAATGTTAACAATCAACTTGGAATGTGTAATTGCATGTTGTGACAAGAAACATGTTGTCATAAGAAACATGTTAACAAGAAACATGTCAACAAGAAACATGTTGTCATGAGAAACATGTTAACAAGAAACATGTCACAAATAATTCTATACAATATAAAGCACATCTGCTTTTGCCTGCTTATTGTTTCTTCTTACTGTTTGACCAATGTGAATTGCTACAATGACAACAATATGAAAAAATGACCAACTATAAAAATCGGGAAACTCTACCCCAAATGCTATACTGCCATCTTTCCACAATGCATGTACTTAATAAATCCAAATAACTATAGATACGCAAAATGTAATGGTACGTCAAATAAATATGCATGCTTAATACATTGGGAAGAATTTTGCTGGCAGTATTTTGGAACCACAACTCTAGCGGCGGATTTGAGTGTAGAGTTTACAGATTTCTATAGCCAGCGCTGATATGGCCCGGAGATAACACACTGCGGCTGCACCCAGCGTGTGATTGGCTTAGTGTTTAATGTATTTGTAAATGTCTGTTGAATCTCAGTATCCCACTTCAGCTCATATTTAGGAACTTTCATCGGTGGTTCCTCCTCAACATCCTCTTTATCAGTTTTTCTCTTTGGTCCCCGTTTCTTTTTCACGACTACTTCCTCTTTGGTCGTTATTGGTTGCTCTTGATTATTAACAGTTTGATTGCTTTCACGTCTCTTACGCCACATTTCCGCTTTCTTTTCATACTCTAAATTGCCGTGTTTAGGATGATTTAAACTTTTGTGTTGATAGAACACTAAACTTATCCTAGTAGGTAAATATCTGTTTGGGTGTTTAATAGCGGTTGTGGCGTGGAGTTCCTTTTTAGCACATTCAATGAGAATTGAACCATGTGTTAAGGCTAATGCCACACCTCCAATGTCTTGCCTCTCGAAGATGTGTTTATTATCTGTATACACAACACGGTCTTCAGGGAGATCTTCTTTGATGACAGGCTCTTCTTTAGCAAAGGTACCTGTAGCTGTATTATTATTCCAGCCCCCAGCCTGCCATTTTCTATCTGCCAATGGTATCTCGCTGCCTGCTTTGTGGCCTACAGGAATTGTTCCATTGACATTTGTCTTAAAGGGATCATGGGTAAAAGGGTGTTCTTGCTTCACCATATTTGGCCGTCCCGTAGGCTGATCTTTATGGGGAGGCGGGTTGTACGGCCGGGAAAATTGGGACTGAAGAAACTGAGATTCTTGGGCATCAAAATTTTGTTGATGTGTTTCACCGGGATTTACATGAGATGGTTGATGTACTGGCCCAGACTGAGGCTGTTGATGTGCTGGCCCAGACTGAGGCTGTTGATGTGCTGGCCCAGAATGAGGCTGCTGATGTGCTGAACCAGAATGAGGCTGTTGATGTGCTGAACCAGAATGAGGCTGTTGATGTGCTGAACCAGAATGAGGCTGTTGATGTGCTAAACCAGAATGAGGCAGTTGATGTGCTGGACCAGAATGAGGCTGTTGATGTGCTGGTCCCGAATGAGGCTGTTGATGTGCTGATCCAGAATGAGGCTGTTGATGTGCTGGCCCAGAATGAGGCTGTTGATGTGCTGATCCAGAATGAGGCTGCTGATGTGCTGAACCAGAATGAGGCTGTTGATGTGCTGATGCCGAATTAGGTGGTTGATGAGTAGACCCAGAATGAGGCTGCTGATATGAGTTTCGAGGCTGTTGATAAGCTGCAGATTTCATGACTTCAGCTCCTGAGTTTCTATTTGATTGCACAAACTGCTCAAAGCTTTGTTGATGGGAGTGTGCTAATGACTGTTGGCCACCATCTGCCGATCGAGACACTTGAGGAGGACACTGTTGCTGAGGAGATGGGTGATGCTGCTGGGACAAAGGTTGATGCTGTGGAGGCAATTGTTGATGCTGTGGAGGCAGTGATTGATGCTGTGGAGGCAATGGTTGATGCTGATGAGATGACTGTTGGGATTGAGGCGACTGCTGATACTGATGATATTGCTGTTGTTGTTGCATTGAGGGATAGTGCCCCACAGACTGTTGGGAATTGTTCCCACCCTGGGGCCCTTGGCTTTGTTGAGGGGAAGGGGTACTTGTTTGGTATGTTGCCTGAGGGGGTGCACTGGGAATGTTTGTTCCCTCCACCTGTTTATGCATTGGGCGCAGTTCATCCTGGGGCCCATCAAGTTGAGGTATGGTGCTGCCATCTACTGAAGACCCCGAATCACTAGCCCCAGAGTCTGAAAGACACCCAGGGGATGCTGGGGCATCATGAGACACCTGATCATCTATCTGTGACCCAACCTCGCTACTTGCGTCACTGTGGTCAGGGGAGGATGGAGGACTGTCAATGTCCAATGCACCATCAAACTGTGGTATATCACTTCGGTGGTGGTTGTAAGCCATCTGGGACATCAACTGCTGGGATATCAACTTAGACACCCCCTGGTTCTGTGGTTGACTGTTATCTAATGCTGGGTGGCTGGGGTACCCAGGAGGGGCAGCATTATGGTGGTACATGTCAGGTGACTTCATATGTTGGGCTACAGGAGAGGGTCGGGGTATATGTGGGTGAGGTGAGTTAGCACCAGGGGACTGTAAATGATGTGGGTGTGGACTGTTTGGATTAGAGGCAGGAGATTGAAGATGGTGGGGGTGGGGACTGTTAGGATTTGAACCTGGACCCTGAAGATGAGCATCCCTGGGTGAGGCTAAAGGTCTTTGTTGCTGTTGCTGCCACATATGTTGCTGGGGAGTCAATGGCCTGTGGGGAGGGGGACCTGACTTGTGGGTGGGGGTTATAGACCTGTGGGAGCCAGGTACAGGGGGATGTGTGGAGTCATTCTGCCAATGAGGGCTTGGACCAGGGTGGCGATCTAGTCCTTGCATGGAGGGAGGATGGCGTTCTTGTCCCTGTGGCCCCTGCATGCCCAGAGGGTGGCAGTCTGGTCCCTGCATACCTGGAGGGTGGCGATCTGGTCCCTGCATGCCAGGGGGATAGTTTTGAAGATGAGATCGTTGCAACTCAGGATTTCTTGGATCTGTAAATTCGCCTTGTTCCTGATATGGATTAGGATTTCTATACACCTCAGGTGGCTCCCTATAACGTTGAGGTTCTTTGGGCTGCTTGGTGGAACCTTGAGGCCAGCCTTGGGGAGCCTCTGCTCTTTGGGGCTGCTGAGGTTTTATATCTGATTTATTAGAGAGCTGCTTTGGCTGACCTTCCCTGCCATCTTTGTTGCCAGCGATCCCCTTGAGATATTGAGCAAATGGATTCGATTCTTTGCTAGGCTGGTTTGCATAAGGAGGCTGTTGCTGTTGTTTTTGCTGAGTATTTTGTTGTTCCCTGTAATACTGGGGCGGTTGATTACTGGTTGGTTTTTTCTCCACTCCTGGCGGTGGGATCTGTTGATCTTTTGGCTTGTTCCCTTGTGGCCAATCAGTTTGTGTATTTGGTCTTGGAGGCTGCTGGGATGGCGTTTGAGCTTGCCTTGTTTCCTGTTTAATCTCATTTTTCTGTTGACCTTGGATCGCAGTCTGCCCTTGCTGCTGTTGCTTCATATACTGGTACCACATCTGAGGGAAGAACCTGGCGTACTGGGGGTTGTATATGAACCAAGGGTGTATGGGATATCCATTCATTCCTTCCTCTTCAATAGGATGTAAGCCAAGTTCTTCTTGGAAAGCGGCCAGTGGGTTCACTGAACCATCCGTGTCCCCATTAACGAGTTCTCCTTTCCGATCGATATCAAATGGTATATTTTCCTTTTTCTTACGCCCCCTTTTTTTCTCAGGGGTGACATCTGGATTCAAACGTGGACGACCAGGTTTTCCCGGAGTGTGACCAGGAGATTTCCCATCACCAGCTTTCCGTCCTTTTTTGCGCTTTGGAGTCAATGGGATTCCTCTGATTCGTTCGTTAAATGGGTAACTAGACAGGACTTCAACAGAGCCATTTGTCACTTTCGCCTCCTGGCCTTCATAGCTCCCATTCTCATCAGTTTGGTCGAGCACATATAGAGGGAGGACGTGTAGCTGTTCTTCATCTGGTTTGGAGAGACCCCTGTGCTTGGTTAATGTCACTACCTGGAACAGAAAACATTGATTCATTTAGCAGATCATGAAATGTCATTGCGATATTTTAAGTGCAAAACAATGACTTCAAAATAGATGAAGAATCAAATGGCATGTTTTCAATTCTTGTTTCTATGGTAAATAAAATAACACTAAGAAACCACTTCAACTTAATTCTCATCTACCACATTCTAATAGTATGATTAAAATTATCAACCATCCAAAATTCAAGAAACGTCATGTATGGCCGAATATCGGTACTTTTATATAATATTATGCAAGCTAATGTGCAATCACACTTACCACAGTGCTGCCATTGTTCATGTTATGAAGATCCTTATGGGCATGAGCACAGAAATCTACGACTGCAGTTACACCAGAGAATGGGCGTCCTTCCTTGTTTCCTATGCGACAATCTGTGGCCTTTGACTCGAACATGACCTATAGCAAACAGCAGGTCATTGAGTAAAAGATGGACCTTAATAGTTAAAGATTCTTTCATTTGAAACCAGAGGCTGATACTGATCATCATCTGAACTAATAATAAACTAGCATTTTTGAAGATCTTGGTTTTCAAATTTTTTTTTTTGTGTTTTTCTGTTAGTCAAATTTCATGTCCTGTGTTAGGCCTAATTCTTCCCTTGCCAACCCAATTTAGCACTAAGGGAGGGGGAAAATCCACTAAAATATGGCACAAAGGTACTAAAGAATGGCACAAAGGCACTTAGGGGATGGCACAAAGGCACTAAGAAGATGGCACAAAGGCACTAAGAAGATGGCACAAAGACACTAAGGGAATGGCACAAAGGCACTAAGGGAATGGCACAAAGGCACTAAGGGAATGGCACAAAGGCACTAAGGGAATGGCACAAAGGCACAAAGGGAATGGCACAAAGGCACTAAAGGGATGGCATTTTAAGGTGTATAGTGGAGAAACCTCATATTGATATCCTATGGGTCATTCCAACAAGTTTGTGCCAAATTCTTCACACAATTCCAAATTGATAACTGCAACTTCATCTACAAAGTACCCAGCTTTGTAAATAAAACTTTTTTTCAAATATATGAACTATTGCCTTTGAAAACTGACCTGGTTATTATAGGAATCTGGAGCCATCTTCTTATACACGGGGGCTAAATGCGTCGCTAGATTCTGTAGATGATATTCAAGCTTTAGTTCCTGAGACTCGTCACGTAGTTTGAATTTTCTCGGTTCTCGACTCCGGCCAAACTTACAGCCGTTATAGTACATACTCCAAGAGCAGCCAAATGAAAATGAAGCTCCACTCCGACTTGAATCCCAGCCTTGACATGCACACGTTTTTCTGAAATATCAAATGAGAAACACATCAATTAACAAAAAAATAAACAGTTTATATCAAGATGTATTTGTTTTAATTCAACCATTTATGAAATTGTGAACTCATATTTATGAAGTTACCTGTAACAATACTAATATATGTCAATAACTATTTTACTTGTACAACTTCTCTCTATTATTACAACAACTATCGAATAATATTAAATTTCTCTAATATTAGAACATGTGAATAACATTACAACTTCACTCTAATATCAAAAAATCTCACTTATCCCTTGAAAATTACAACATTATAACATTTCTCTAATATAACAACACCTCTCTAATATTATTAATAATATCAGAACATATCATTAAAACATTACATCTCTTGAATATCATAACATCCTTCTAACATTACAACATCTGACGAATATCACTTCAAAAACTACTGGTTTTGGAAAAAGTAAATTGAAAGTAAAATAAAGTAACTTACGGCTCATTAGTACCACATCTACGAGTCGTTTCAAAGCCATATATGGGCAAAACGTTGTTCAGTATATTGTAAAGACCGTCTGCTTGCTCTGAGGGCACGCCATCCCATAATACAATAGCAATAATGATGATGGCGGATTCGCAAATGTGACCAGGACGGTGACGAACTACAGTGAGAACCTTTTCTTCAATACCTGAACGTCTGATGATCTGAAATGGGAATTTTGTTAGAAAAGTAACATTTCCAAATGTCAGATCTAGCTTAAATTGACAAGGAAACATAGCAATTCTGTATTGTCCTTGTAATATATAAATTAAAAATATGACATGTCAGATATCACTTTAACAAAGGGTTTCAACCCATCCGGGAAATGCTTATCACAATAAATACACTTTAGAAACATTTAAGGATTTTTCCAACATTGTGCATTTCGTCATAATTTCTTTCTCAAATGTTCGGCAGTGCGCTAAAAGATTCACTTTTTCTCCCATCCATTGCTAAAACTACTACCAGTCCTATAGACTTGCCCATTTGGGCAGTGTACTTAGGATCACAGATTTTCTTTCTTCCACATCCTACTGCTAAAACTACTCCAAGTTTATATAGACTTACCCATTTAGCTGCTGGGCACCCCTGGGAGCTTTTCCCCTCCTTCCCTGTATAAACCACCTTCTCTATCCTCACAGCAGCTCCAGCCACCCCATACCTACAATATTAGAAAATATATTATACAGGGTGTCTCAAAAAAGGTATCCAAAAGTATATCAATAGCACAGATAAACCAATCAACATTTTTGCATCGTCATGTAGCCAAAGCATGATTATTATTACCAGTACTATTCGAGGCAATTTAAATTTGAAAAAGACGTTATGGTGTCACTCCTGTAAATAGCACTTCCGGGTAGGACAGTGTTTTTTAATACTTTAAAAACGAAGCCATGCCAACTTCAATGGTGTATATAGGAGGTTTAAGTGTATGCAATGTGGCCATTTGAGGTATGTCTGTAAAGCTGAGGCCAAGTGCTTTCTAAATGTGCCATTTTAAGAAAAAAATCGCAAGAATATAGTCCCGTAAACTGGAACTACTTTACTCGTTAATTTTCATCGGTGAAGTAGAGATTTTACCTAAAAATGAGTCCCTATGTTGGCGTAGTGATATTTAAAAATCGAGACGCAAACCCTATGTTAAATATAGTGTCAAGATGAAGGTTATGTATAGGGGAACGCAGAAATATAGTCATTGTATGGGCTAGTTCGTTCGAAAATGGCGATATGTACCCCAGAACTTGAATTTTGTGATTTTTTCAATATTTTTCAATGATTTACCGTAGTGACACCTTAATACCCCCGCCTTAGATTGGCTGCCATTTGCGCAGAGACCATGGAAGGCATGGATGTTGTAGAATATCAAAACAGAGTCGATATTTACATTCAGGCTAGGCCACACAATGCTTTTAATTCACATTTAGACATCCTGTGCCTATCAGAATGGCCAAACGGGGGTCCAAAGGGATCATAAATGGGAGAAAATCAGCCTGAATTCCATCAAAATTGCTGGTCATTTCTCCATAAATTACATGATTCTAAGGTTCCATACCTCATTTAAATTGCTACAATGTTGCAAATTATGATTTTTACAGGCTTAATAAACACGCCAGGTGTATCACAGTAAGAGTAATCAAGATTAATTTGTAAATTGCTACATTGTAGCAATGGTATGAGTATGATGTCACAATACACTGAGGCCTAACTGGCGTAATTAGGAGAAAAAGGGCAAATTTTGCACATGGGGACCACATTTGACTCAAAATATTTGCATTTAGCAACATACATTTCAGTTCATTCTGTGTAATACTTGAAAGGCATTGCTATAATGATTGACAAAATGAAATAATCTCGGAGATTTTGCGTCTAAAATTTTTGCATGAGATCTCTTAAGTTGATGACCCAATTTTAGGTCATTTTGGCCAGTTTTTAGAGACTCAGCCCTCACCTATTTCCCCAAATATGGCTAGATTTTGTAGAAAACGTGTTAAAAGTTTGCAAATGCAGCTGTTTCGAGCATGAAATAACTCAATTGTTTGAAAAAATGCTAAATGAGCAAAAAATATCATAGTCAAATTTTCCCGTTTTTGGTATTAAGGTGTCACTCCTGTAAATAGCACTTCCGGGTAGGACAGTGTTTTTTAATACTTTAAAAACGAAGCCATGCCAACTTCAATGGTGTATATAGGAGGTTTAAGTGTATGCAATGTGGCCATTTGAGGTATGTCTGTAAAGCTGAGGCCAAGTGCTTTCTAAATGTGCCATTTTAAGAAAAATATCGCAAGAATATAGTCCCGTAAACTGGAACTACTTTACTCGTTAATTTTCATCGGTGAAGTAGAGATTTTACCTAAAAATGAGTCCCTATGTTGGCGTAGTGATATTTAAAAATCGAGACGCAAACCCTATGTTAAATATAGTGTCAAGATGAAGGTTATGTATAGGGGAACGCAGAAATATAGTCATTGTATGGGCTAGTTCGTTCGAAAATGGCGATATGTACCCCAGAACTTGAATTTTGTGATTTTTTCAATATTTTTCAATGATTTACCGTAGTGACACCTTATATCGGAAAATAACATCTGAAATGACCAATCGTCTAAAAAGTAAGTTGTTCAAAGTGATTGATTCATATTGAAAAGCAAACACTGAAAGGTCTAGATAATTTATACCAGCTCTCTCATATAAAAAGACAATTTCGGTAAGTGTATTTATCAATCCGATTGTGGTCGGTTTTCAGTAAAACATATTTTTGGCAGTTCTCATTTGTAAAAAAAGTATATGGTTTTCGAGCGTGTGCTTCTTCCCACTCATGGACTTTTATATATTTCAAAGGATGAACCGCAGATCAAGTGATATAAATCATATGACAAATTGGTAAACCACAAATTGTCAAGTTCATGAATAAAAAATTAATGACAAAATAAAAGTTTTGGCCGCAAAGTAGGGGTATGTTAACCATGGGTACAAAATCAAGGTTAGTTTCTTTTCAGTTCATTTAGAAATAATGCCACTGCCACTATGATAATATTGTATTCTTATATTTTGAAACTGCTGTGTAAAAAGGGCATTAAGAGGTGTTGCATAGAAAGCCTTAACTATGATCCATCCTATTCTATGATACAGTTAGATGTATACATACATCCTGTACCTTTAATAATTTGTGATGTCTAAAATTTAACCTGTAAAGTAGAATACTTCTAACAAGGGATCACCTCAATATATGCTGAACACAACAGAAGTCACTTTACCCATTTCCTCAATGTAAAATGAACCTCTGTTAGTTGAACACTATTACAAGGTCTTAAAGGTGTTCTACTTAAACAGCTGTATTAATTATTACATACCTCCCCTCCATTGTTTTCCTGATTGCCTTAATGTTGGGCCCAGCCCCAAGGTGAGTATAGTACGGCCCGTCAACTTTTGAATCTATCAAGCCCATCATTGGTGGACAAGTACAGGGTGGGACCTCTTCAGTGCCATTGCTCTTTATCCTGTCTAGAATATCTTTGTCCAATAAAGCTTCTGCCTGAACCTTCACTTCATTTTTTTCTTTATCAATTTCAATATTATTAGAAAGGTCAATAGCTTCCTCACCGGGAAAACCATTGAGATCTGTTGTGTCATAATCAATATCACAGTCCTGGGGGTGAAGCTTAGGTGAGGCAAATCCTGGGTGCCAGTCTGATAAAGATGGTAACACAGTGCTTTTTTGGCTAACGTTAATGTTAAATGAATCTGATTTATCTGCTAGGGGTTCACGTTTAGGTGTAGAGTAGCTAGTTTCAGATGTCCCTGTTGCTCCACTTGTACTAGGTTTTGGATCAGAGGCAGGATTTGAAACAGATGGGGAATCAAGTTGTCTATCTTGTATTTTTATGCTAGCTTCTTTGGCTAATTCAAGTATACTATCTGCTAGTTCCTCATCCTCAGTGTGAGAAGACTGCCCAGCAGGGGCCGCATTTTCAAAAATGTTCACATTGGGAGGGGCCTGTTTTGGTGATCCTGTGGGTGTATCACCACGCTGTTTTGCAAGAAGTTCCGCCACAGTAGCAGCTTTCCGATGGCCCCCTTGCGGAGGCGCTGTATTGGCTAAAGTCCGAGAATTTTTTTCATTAGTACTACATGTCCTTGTTTTATCAATCCAATTAGCTGCTTTACTGGCATTGTCATAAGATGACCATGATTGATCAAAGTTTACATCTCCCGTCCCTGATCGGTCACTTATCCCTTGAAATGCATTTAAACCCTGAGAAAGTTGAGGCTGGTTAGAAGATGTTCCACTTGTTTGGAAAGAATCCGATTTTTCAACTAACCTGGCCTGAAGTCCATCCAATAGATGGCTCTGTTGATTCTGACTTTGAGAAAATGTTGACGATGATGAACTATCATCAGAAAAAGCAAATGGGTCCATGGACGATTGAGACGAAGCTTTTGATATAGATGGCACTTTATCTCCTTTTTTACTGATAACATCATGCATCATTGCACGCACAGTGTCAATACTTGGGAGCTGATTCACCCCACTAAATCCCCCCGTGTTCTCCCTTGGGGAGGCCTCCTTAGGGCCCCCTGCATCCTGCCCCCCTGGTTGATTCATCTGGGGTAAAGGCATGTCAGGGGTGCCTAGTCCCATCTGAAATTTACCCCCAGCACGTTTGCCTTTACCACCACCCCGAGATTTTTTCTTCTTTTTCTCTGGGTCCTCAGGGGGAGGAGGCTGAAGCATCATGCTCTGGGCCTGTACTATACTTTGTACATACTCTCGATATTTTGCGATTTGTTCAGAATCAGCATTGGACATGGCAGCGGCAACTGAATTGGCGTTACCCTTTTTCTTATTTGGCCCTCCTTCTGATCTCGGTGTCTCATTATTGGCCAAACTCCCTTTTGTCTCACTCCCCATATTGTCCTTGCTATCATACGGCCTTGGAAATTCACCATCAAATGGCCTAGGGGGTTGGCTATCACAAGGCCTAGTTGATGGGCTATTTTCAAAGGACCAATCACTCGGTTTAGGGAATCCTGTATCATAGGGCATGGTTTTGGAATCATGAAGTCGTATGTCACCATCATGTGGCAATTGACTATCATGGGATTTGAAGGATCCAGAGTCAAAGCTATGTGAGAGAAATTTTTCAGGATCTAATTCTGAGGATCTGGAATCTGTGCTTGATAACCTAGAATTTGGACCATATACTGATCTCTGCGATAAAGTATCTATAGTTTCTATAGCAACAGGTTTCATTGAATCACTCAAATCCTGAGGTTTAATATAGCTGGCCCCATATTTATGCTGTGCTTGTATGGGGCCTTCCAGAGACCCCTTATCACAGTCACTAGTCTCTACTCCTTCCTCACCCATTCCAGACACTTTTAAAATAATATCATCTAACTTATCACTCGCTTCTTTTGACATTGGTGGCTGGGGGGCTCGTTGCTTAGCAACAGGAGACTTCTTGTGTACACTGCCCCCCTGTGTGTTTTCAAAATATGCTGCCATATCATAATAATGTCCATCCTGCTGTTGTCTTATCTGAGACTGTTTATCGTCAGTTTTAATATCACTAAAATTTTGCTGCTGTTGCTGCTGCTGTTGATAATGCTGTTGCTGATTTTGCTGATGTTGTTGACGCTGCTGCAGCAGGCGTTGAGCTGCCTGCTGTGTTTGTACCTGTAGGGCAACAGTCTCTTGCTGGGTCTGGTTGTTTTTATACTGCTGGTGCTTCAACCATTCCTGGCACTCATTGGTTGGACTGGAACATGGTTTCTCTTTACTCACACACATAGTTGATGGTCCCTGAAATCACAAATACACATAAATATCAAATATGTTTTTACTTATTTATTTAATTTCATATTTACAGTATAGAGAAACTACATGTGCATAAAATTAAATTTTGACGATAATACGCGAAAATCAATAAATATCATGTTTCAACTTCTTTTTTCATGGTCGTAAGAATTTCACATACGCTATCTCACATACAAACAAGAAGTTTGCATATTTTTCAGATGATTTATTAGTGTATTGATCAATCATATTGCCATAACTTGTAACAAAGTCTTACCACCATTTATTTAACATGCAACTGAAATATAAAGGTGCCAATATAAATATATTGGTTGACATCAACCATTAGAACTGTACTTAATAGCCAGGACAGCTTCATGAGCAGCAAGGTAACAGACGATTTTTTCACTGGTCATTTTGTCATTTTTACAAAAACTGGTGACTGATTTTAGGAAATTTACGACTTTTCCAGTTAAAAATGTCTAATTATTTTGCTCGTGTTTATAGAAGTTGAAATTGGCAGTTATTCTAACACAACCTTAAAGCTTTATTTGATATAATGTATTTGAGGTGAGTTGATGAATGTTTCCATTTATAATTAATGAATTATTGATTCTTATTTAATCTGGAAAAATGGCAAATTAAGCCATACCACCCAGTCTTACGCACAGCTTCATGTTATTATTGATTTGACAGCTCAGTATCTTGCACAGGTATTTTTGAAGCTGTGCAGTAGACTGTGACATATTAGACTGTATTGCATTAGACTTTAAGCAGAAGACTGAAACACACATGAGACTGTATCATATCAGAATGAGTTATCTCTTTGAGCCAGATGTTTTCAAGACACAATGGTTTGACCCAACTGTGTTTTACATAAGGTGATCAGACAAAAACAAAAAATAAACAAAGTTTGTTTTATAATAACAAACACCTAAACACCTGTCCTAAAACACAAAAGCATGATCAGTCTGGAAAATGTTGACTTTGGGAATTATTTCAAGTCGAAAAATCCTGCTCTAGTATGAAATATGCCAGGTTATAAAGTCGCCTCGACCCATTAGCAATAACTCATTTATCAATACTTTTATTTTAAAATGCTAGGGAAATTATGTTTCATAACAAAAAATTGAAAGACAATTATCAAGGACATTACAAATCACAACAATTACTGTAGTGAAAACAAAGGCTCTTCAATGAAATGAATAGCTGATTATTTTGAATAAGTGGAAAACAATACATTACAGTTTTACTGTCTCGTCTCCAATAAGGCAGATGTCTTAAAGGTACAGACAATTTTTTCTCATGTCACAGAATTTGTTCTTACAAAGACTTGTAATCCAAAAATGATAATTATCAAAACAAAACAAGATATTTCTACCAATTCTTGTCCATTCCACATGAATCTTTGTAACACAAGGGGTAAAGAAAGGTACAATTGTGGATGCAATCTTTAAAAAAATATTGCAAATGTTTTCCTAACAATTCAGGGGTTTCATTAGCAGCAGGCAACAGGCAATTTTCACCGGTTGTTTTCACAAAATTGCCTGTTGATTTTAGGGACTTTTAACTTTTCCATGTTGAATTTATGATTTCCATTAATTTTGCCTGTTGTTTTCATTTCTTTAGCCTGTTGTGAAAAATTCTAGTGAAACCCCTGCAATCCTAATTTTATTTTCTGAAAAAAAGAATTGAGATATCTGATAATTCAGAATAAAAATACACACAATATTGAATTAATTCAATAATATAGAATAGAATAATTGATCTACAGTATTAGGTCAGCAACTTTAAAAATACAAAAGTACTGTACACAGTCTGCATTTTTAAGCAGTGAATTTTCAAGATCTTAAATAATAGTACATTTCTGGACATTTCTCAAGCAAACCAAACATACATGTAAGGAGCTTTCCATGGATTAAAGCTACGGAATAATCCTAGTATACATTAAAATAAATCACAATATAGTGTAATCATACTTCTAAAGACATTAGTCATATAAATTAAAGAACCCTTAAAGAATGGGATTAATCACAATGAAGTGTCACATGAAATTCGGAATAATGAATCAATATTACTGATTACAGGAGTGCCTTTTATTAACACAAGGCAGGTGTTAAATCTAAAGACAAATACACAGAAAGATGAATGCTTTAAAATATTGTATTCAAGTAGGATTCGTTGAAAAGACTTTGAGTACATATTAACACTAAAAATTTCCAAGCCAGGTGTACTTTAGGGATAGACAAGCTTGTCTGGCATCTCCATGCTTTCATTGTAATGTTCTTTTTGTATTTTCAAACCAGTAGAATTTCTAAAAATGTCATTACTCATGAAAACTACTTTATTCATTATCTGATGATTTTCTGCCATGTTATTTTCAAAATTCTGTATGAAACTAATCTGACACTACCTCTGGCCACAGCTTAGCTGCACATAATACTGCCCGAAATATACAAAAGTAAGGTATTTAAAATATGAATGTATATTTTCATATATAGATATTGCGCTGTGGTCCTTTGATTGCTTATTCTTAGGCTTGATAGACTTATATTTTATTGCTTTGCAATATTGAACTATCTGAAATATACAAGTTTTGTCTCTCAAATATAAATATATTTTTCCAAAAACTATTGCACTATGGTCCCTTGATTGTTTATTTCTAGATTTGAAAAATCTATTTGGACAGTTCTATAAACTGTAAATCAGATACTGTCTTAAAAACTGTAAATCAGATACAGTTCTATAAACTGTAAATCAGATACTGTCTTATAAACTGTAAATCAGATACTGTCTTATAAACTGTAAATCAGATACAGTTCCATAAACTGTAAATCAGATAAAGTCTTATAAACTGTAAATCTTCATGTAGCTTGGGTTCACTCCACTTCCAAGTCCTCCCATTAAAACACATTGATGAACCTCTGACAAGCATATATAGGGGTTATGCACTGGGAGGTTTTGGATACAGGGAATATCCCGAGGGATATACAATATATCTTCCCGAGGGACCGAAATTAAATTTTAAAATTAAAAAATTAAAACTTTTGATATTTAAACTTTTGAAAAATTCCCGGGAGCGGGATGGATATATTATATCTGCCCGCATTTGGCCTGGAGCGGGACATATACAATATATCCTGCCCGCTCCTCAGATACGATATATATTCCCGGGTGATATCTACCCCAAACCCACTCAAGTATGAGATACACCTTTTTATCGATCATGTTGTTTCTATAGAAACTCATAATGTCCTTAAAGTTTCCAAGAATCTAATAATAAGCACATACTGAGTATCATTTAACCCTGTCATTCAAAGCGAAAGAAGTTTGGGTTTCTTAAAATGGCCAAGAACCTAAATGTTTGTGAACCCTGCAGAAATATTGGTTTAAGCTAGGATATAAGTTGTACACATTTATTTAACAACTGAAACTTCTCAGAAGTTTGAAGCGTGAGAAGTTCAGTCACAATTGATAATATATGCATTCACCACAGAGGTGAAAATGAGATCCTAAGAGTAAACATGGTATCAAGTTTAGGTCCCAAAATATCTCAAATTTTATTAAAAGAGCTATGGATTTAGTGCTTTGTCCTTCAAGCATACCCAGAGATAGCTCTTTCACAAAGAAGCACAAGAACACAAATGTGTACAAAATGTCCCCACCAATGGGTGATCCCATCAAATAGTTATCTTGAAAATGAGAAGACAAGACTTTACCGACACAGTTTGATGATGGAAAATCCAAAATGACCACCTTAAAATTTACGCAGAATGCCCAAAAATAGTTAGTTCTAGATTTTTATACGAAGAACCACCCCTGAAAATTTGAAATTGATCCGTCAAACAGTTAACCAGAAAACATGTAAACAAGACTTTACAGACAAGATTTTAGGATGGAAAATCCAAAATGGCTGCCTTGACATTTACCCAGAATGTCAAAAAACTAATCAGTTCTAGATTTTCATACCAAGAATCATCCCTGAAAATTTGAAATTGATCTACCAAATACTTCACCTGAAAACGTGTAGACAAGACTTCACAGACAAGATTTTAGGACGGAAAATCCAAAATGGCTGCCTTGACATTTATCCAGAATGCCAAAAAACTAATCAAATATAGATTTTCATACTTAGAATCATCTCTGAAAATTCGAAATTGATCTACCAAGCGGTTCACCTATAAATACGTAGACAAGACTTTACAGGCAAGATTTTAAGACGGAAAATCCAAAATGGCTGCCTTGACATTCAAAATGGCTGACATGACTGAGCTAACAGATCCAAAACCTATTCAGATGTAGAATGAAGTGAGCTGAACAAGATATTAAAGTTTTAAAAGCAACTGTATAGCCGTTTTTCTTGAAGTTTGCAGACAAGGATTTTAGCATTTAACTTCAAAATGGCCGAGAGGAAGTGGGTATCGAGTTAAATTATCCTTGAAAATTTGGAGGTGATATCTGTAGTGGTTTTGGAGAAAACTGCCAGATATACGGACGGACAAGAGACAGATGGACGGACGCGCCTAGGCCGACAATATGGCCCCACACTATGTGGTGGGGACATAAAAATATTAAAATGGATCTGGAGTAAAAAAGAAATTAAGACATTTTAGTGCTGAATTTTGTTCATGCTAAATTCATCAAACTTATCCAAACAAAAGACACAAAACAAAGAAATGGACTTTGTCAAGTCTAAAGCAACATTTATTCACAAATATATTATTTCACTAAATTCATCAAAAAAATTATATACAAAATATGCAAAATGTAGACTTAAATGTTAAACCTAAAGCAACTTATACACAAATTAAGTGATAACAATTAGAGGAGATAACAATAGGTGATAATAACATTAATATCAAACTGTGATAACTTATGTTTATTGCTCAAATTAGAGGTGAATTAACAGGTAGTAATGCTTGGAGGACCTACAAATGTATGACATAAATGTTACAACCCTCTAATTTTGGAATAACTTTCTTTCAATTTCAAGTGGTTGGTATGGA